CAGGTGGCACGGTGGATAGAGTGCTAGACTGGGAGACAGGATGGTGATACTTATTAGCTCTGTGACCCGGGGCAGGTCACTTCACTTCTCAGCCTCAGTTTCCTCCTCTGTAAAATGGAGTCTACAGTTGCACCTATATCACAGAGCTGTGAGAATCAAGTGACATGATATATAAAGTGCTCTGCAAGCTTTAATTTGCTATATAAATGCTGGATATTATTACTACTGGAGTTGGAAGCTGTAGCATGTACAGTGGCCACAGCCCAATAAACCATCTGGGCAGATGGGCAACCTACAGGCCTCAAGCCTGTCGGTGAGTTAGGGGGATGCCTACCCCAAGCATGCAGAGACTTTCCGAGGTAGAATGAGTGGATGAGAACAACTCGTTCCAGCGGCCACAAAGGCAGCCAAAGCAGGCGCCGTGGAGCGCTCTGGGCTTGGTCAGACACAGAAGACGCCGAGGCTGTCCGCTGCATCCCAGGCCATCCGGTCATCCTGACTCTTGTCCTGCCACTGGACTTCCGTGGCTCTGGAAGAGAGGGCGAGGCTGACGACTTTGCACAGCTCTGCCTCACTTCAATCCGATTCACAAGCAAGTCAAGACATCACCCCATGATGTCATTCGTCCTTTTTGAAAACTAAGGACAAACCACAACAATGATTATTATCACATCATGCTGCTCCCTCTGTGGTTGCAAAGCGCGCCTCCGCTATCTTCCCTGATCCTCGTACCAGTGCGCAGAGGCAGATGGTGCCGATGTTTTCATCACCATTTTGGAGATAAGGGACCTGAAACTCAGAGGCTGTGACATGTCTGGTCCCAGAGCTAGTGAGTGGTGGAGTGGATGCTCCCCTGACTCCAGGGCGCTGCTCTTTCTTTCTGCCAAATCACTTTGACTCTTGATGAAGGTTTGGGACCAGTCCGTATCTTACTTGCTTGTTTTCCCATGGTCAAAACAAAACAAAACAAAACAAAAAGCTGGAGTAAGACTGAAAAGAGAATTTTCTAGGTCTAGTATCTTGGGTGGGAATTTCCTGGGTTACCTCCCATGAAAGCACTTCCACACTTAGTCCGGCTTTCAGTCCTCACAACGACAGGTATATTATCCTCCTTTGACAGATGGGGAAACTGAGACCCTGAAGCCGCACGCTTGCAAACATCTCCAGCTCCTTCCTACATCGGTGCACTGCTTTCTCCAACTCAAGGCCCTCTTCAGTTACCCTGGGAGGGACTCAAGGCTGATATTTTCTCTCCATTTCACCAATGAAGAAACAGACACACTTTGAACCATATACTCCAGGAGCTCTAAAATAGGAGTGGTTTTTTGGGGTGAGGGAAGGAAGAGGACATGGGACAGCTCTCTCCTTCCCTGCAGGAAGTGGGGCCCTCCATCAGCTCTGCAAATCTTCACTGGATGCTTTTCCTCCAGAAATGACTACAGAAATGGAATTGTATTTTATGGAGGACAGGGAGGGGAGGAGGAGGGAGAAAGGCAGCTGGGTGGTGCCATAGTGCATAGAGCGCATCTTGGGTTCAAATCTAGCCATGTACACGTACTAGCTGTGTGGCCCTGGGGAAGTCACTTCACCCTGTTTGCCTCAGTTTCCTTATCTGAAAAATGACTGAACAACAACGCATCTAATAAATGCTTGCTGACTGACTGACTTCCAGTCTAAATCCTATGAGACTTATTGGTCATGTGACCATGGACAAGTCATTTCCTAAAGCACAGGTCTGACCACGTCATCCCCCTACTCAATAAACTTCCGTGGTTCCTTCCTACCTTCAGGATCATTTCTAAAACCCTGGTTTGCATTGAAAGCCCTTCCTAACCTCCCTTCCTCCCCATCTTTTTAGTCTTATACCTCATGCCCTTCCTTATTCTCCAGCTCAGTGACCCCCGCCTCTTGGCTATTCCACAAACAAGATCCTCCATCTCCTGACTCCAGGCATTCTCCCTGGCTTCCTCCTATGCCTGGAATGCTCTCCCTCCTGCCTCTGCCTCCCACCTCCTACAGGCAGCCCTTCCCCAGTCTGTCCTGATTCCAGCCTTCTTTCTGCTATTTCTAGTTCCTCCTGTCTACTGTAGCACATTTGTACCTACTTGTTTGCACGCGTCCCCCCATTAGATTGTGAGCTCCTTGGGGGTGTGGGGAAAGTCTTTTGCCTTTGTCTGTCTCTCCAGCTCTCTCTGTCTCCTGATCCATGGTAGGCATTTAATAAATGTTTATGGACTGACTAAGTGACCATTTAATAAACTCCAATGGCTCCTTATGGGCTCCAGGATCAAATATGAGCTACTCTTTTTAGCTTTTAAAGCCCTTCACAACTTGTCCCTGGACTGCCTTTCCATCTCAATTATACAAGGTTTTAAACTATTAAGGAATAAAACTGTATTAAGACATTGGGGATACCCTTTACATTAATCCTCTGCCTGCACCCTATTTATGGCCAAACTGTTCTCATAATTAGTATCATATCATCATCATCATCATCATCATCATCAGTCATACAAAACCCTCCACCTTCCCAACTCTGGGCTTTTCAGCTGGCTGTGTCCCATGCCCAGAACCTCTAACCTCTGCCTCTGGCTCTTAAGAAGAACTCTGCTCAAATGATCCCTTCTATATGAAGCTATTAGGGTCTTCCCTTCTCCCTGAATTTATCTCATATTTATTTTGCACATAACTTGTTTATGTACATGAGGTCTCTGCCAATAGGATGGAAGCTCCCCTGGCATACAGGAAGCACTTAATAAATGGGAGGCAATCAGGGTTAAGTGACTTGCCCAAGGTCACACAGTGTGTTAAGTGTCTGAGGCCAGATTTGAACTCCAGTCCTCCTCACTCCAGGGCCGGTGCTCTATCCACTGTGCCACCTAGCTGCCCCTAAATGCTTATTGATCGATTGATTGATTGATTGATTTAACCTTGTGGTCAGTGCCCTTGCAGTTTCCTCATCTGTAAAAAGGGAATAATCATGATACTTGTCCTATGTCCCCCACAGGTTTGTTGTGAAGAGCTCCAGAAGTGATTATTGGGAACAGAGCCATAACTAGGATGGGGCATCTGGGATTATGTCTTAGAATGTGAACATTCACTGTCCTTTATCAGTATACCTGCTTAGCAAAAATAATGAGTTGAGTAGGAAGCTACTTTATCTTCCTTCCTCCCTTCTACAAGTGAGCTCCTCTCTACCCACAAGTTCAGATCCCCACCTTTCCACTGCCATGGGGGCTTGTTTTATGTTAGAGGCGGCTAACATGGCCAATGTGGGAATTTGTTACGATTGACTACATATGTTTGTAATGGGTAAAAACTAAATAATTAAGTTTTATTTTTATTTTCAGGTCAATATTCTCTCCCTTCCACGTCCCCTCTCCCCACTGAGAAAGCAAGGGGAAAAAAAATAAACTCCCATTATAAACATGTATAGTCAAGTGAAACGAATTCCCACATCGACCATGTCCAAAAAATATATACATCAGTCTGCACTGAGTCCTTTACCTCTCTGTCTAAAGGTGAGCAGAATGTTTTATCATGTTCAGTTTAGTCATTTTTCAGCTGTGTCCAGCTCTTTGTGACCCCATTTAATGTTTTCCTGGCAAAGATACTGGAGTGATTTGCCATTTCCTTCTCCAGCTCATTTTACAGATAAGGAAACTGAGGCAAACAGGGTAAAGTGACTTGCCCAGGGTCACACAGCTAGTGAGTGTCTTGAGGTCAGATTTGAACTCAGGAAGGTGAGTCTTCCTGACTCCAGGCCCAGCTCTCTATGCCCGATGGCACCACCTAGCTGTACTTTTTATTACGGATCCTCTAGAATGGTGGCTGGTCACTGTGTTGATCAGAGTTCCTAAGTCTTTCAAAGTTGTTTGTCTTCAAAATATTATTGCTGTTTTTTAAATTGTTCTCCTTGTTCTGCTCACTTCACTTTGCATCAGTTTATACAAGTCTTCCCAGGTTTCTCTGAAACTGTTCCCTTTATTACAAAAGTATTCCATCACATTCATATGCCTTTAACTTTTTAAACCATCATTCAACGATGTATACTCTTTCAATTTCCAGTTCGTTGTCACCATGAAAACACGCTACAAATATTTTCATACACGTGTCCTTTCCCTCTGTCTTTGGTCTTTTGGGGAGTAGACACAATAGCAGTATCATTGGGTCAAAGGGTGTCCACAGTTTAATTGTTTTGGGGGCATAATTCCAAATTTCTGGAATGGTTGGATCAGTTCACAACTCCACCAACAATGCATCAGTTTACCTGCTTTCCCCCAGCACTTCCAGCTTTTGCTATTGAACAGTTCATTCCTGTTTACTCCTCAGTAATTGTTTAGTCATCTTTACCCTGTTATGTTTCTCTTAATTCCTGTGTTTGAACTTTAAAGTTTCTATTTAGCTCTGGTCTTTTCATCAGGAAGTCTTCTATTTCATTAAAGACCCATCTTTTCCCCCTGCAGGATCATACTCAGTTTTTCTGGGTAAGTTATTCTCGGCCATAAGCCTACATCCCTTGCCTTCTAGAATACCGTATTCCAGGCTCTCTGCTTCTTTGTAGTAATAGTACTTTAAGGTTTGAAAAGTCTCTTATATGTGTTCTCTCAACTGACCCTCACAACAACCCTGGGAAGTATAGGCTATTATCCCCATTTTACAGTTGAGAAAACTGAGGGAGAGAGAAGTTAAGTGACTGGCCCAGGGTCACACACTGACTGTCTGTGGCAGTCTTCCTGACTTCAAGTCCAATACTCTTTATCAATTGTGCCTTCTTTTACTCTTCCCCCTTTCACCCAATTGTCAAAAGAGAAATAACTTTAAGAAGGCACCACCAGAGAGCCGCAGCTACTTTAGATGCCACATCTCAGGCTCGTTTCTAAAAGCATCACTGGCACAGAGAGTTCAAACTCTAACGATGTTTGTTGGGAGAATGAAGTTGTTGACTGGCACAGAAGAAGGACTTGGTGGTGGAGTCACGGGAGGAAGTGTTGGAGAGATTCTCTCAACTCAGAAATAAGTTTATTAGAAAGTTTACAGACAGATAAACCCTGAGTAACCAGCCAAGGAACAAACTTAAAAAATGAAGACAAAAACAGACCCCAAACTCTCTCTCTCCCCTCCCGTAAGCCCAACATATCCTCAAAATTACGTTTGGCTCTAGGGAGTTGTGTCCAGTGGTGAATCTCAAGTCATTCAAAAAGTGCTTTTGTGACCCTGGCACCCCTGGTCTGGCAGGTGGTGGGGCGGGGCGGGTGGAGGGCTTAAGCCTGCATTTTAATTGTTCAGCTGGAATAAAGCCAGCCATAAGCCGGGCTGCTTCTGGCTCCACTGGCCACAGAAAGCAGCACAGCCACCTCTCTTGAAGCTGGGCCCAAGAGGATCCTGGGGAAAGAATCCTTTTATTGCAAGGCCAAGGGCACTGAAGTGAAGATGGGCAGCTGGAAGGCAGAGGGAGTCCAGAGAGGGTGTCCAGGAAGCAGGGACCCTCAAATCTCAGAAGCACCAAAGACAGACGTCCATGCCCCAACCTAGTCTGACGGGTCCAAGGGACCCCTTCCCCAGAGGTGGAGGGTCCCTTCACTCCTTGCTTTGTGGCCCTCCTTCTGTGTATAGTTAATATTCCTCTTTCCAACAAACACATCCTGGAAAAAAGAACTGATCACCCCCCCACCCCCATCTTTCTTTTGTAAAAAAGAGTTTGTACAGTGATTGATTCCAGTCAGGAGAGTCCCTGCCAAGAATGGTCCGTGCTGTGGGAGCAGAAAGGCACTTTGCACTCCTCCCTCCCCCATCCTCCAGGGGAGCCCATCCACGCTGGCTACGTGCCGGGAGCTCCCACCTGGCTGGCTCCCAGGGCCCTGCCCAGGCAGATTAAGTGCAGATTTCCTCGGGAAAACGTGCAGTCGATGGTGACGGGGCAGCTCCGCGGCCGGCGACGTGCTCTCCGACCCCTTCACAGCGTGGTGGAAGGTAGCTTCTTCACGCGTCGCTGGGCCAGGATGGAAGTCTCGATAGGCTTGAGCTGCGGGGTGGCCTTGGAACTGCTCAGTGCCGAGTAGGTGGCGGCCATGGCGCCCTGCGCAGGGAAAGAGCAGGAGACAAGGTTAACCCCGATTCACCAATCAATTAAAAAGCAACTATCAAGCACCTAGTATGTGTCGGGCACTGGGGATACAAGGACAGCAAGGAAACTGTGCCTGCCCTCAAGGGGCTTACATTCTATCAAGGGTGGCTCAAATTCCTCAAGACGAGGGCTTCTCAGCTGAGTCTGTAGATGAGCCAGGGGCTCCATGCAGTCATGCTTCCTCTGGGGCCCCCGGCCTGGAGGAGGCTGTGACTGTCGGCCTGGGAAGGCCAGCTCCCTGGCCTCCGGACAGTGACAGTGTCTGGGGCCCAGATGTCCCCAGGGCATCGAGGAGCCGGTGCCAGGGAGTCACCTGAGGCACCATAGGAAGACATGCCCAGAGTCACACGGGCAGGGTCAGAGACTGGATTTGAACTCAGGTCTTCCTGGCCTCGACTAGCCTTGACACACTACACTGCCCCTGCTGAGAGAGGTGAACTCCCACTGGCCCCCTCTTCTGCCCTAATCAGTGCTGCCTTCTTGTGCCTGGGCCGCAGAGCTGGGCCCCTGGCACACCTGGGCTGTCATAAGCACACGTCTACATCCACACCCTCCGGAGGCAGGAGAAGGAGTGAGAAACACTTGGAGTCACCAAGGCCCCGGGTTCAAATGCTGGCTCAGCCACTTACAGCGAGCTCCTTCCTCACCTACAAAATGAAGGAATCAGACCAGGCAACCTCAGAGATCGAGCGTGTCCTGACCACATGTTTTCTGGCTATACTTCACACAGCACTTCAGAGGCAGCTAGTGGCACCATAGTGCACAGAGCGCTGGGTCTGGAGTTAGGAAGACCCGAGTGCAATAATAAAATAAATAAAATAAAATTTGTAAAGTGCTTAGCACAGCAATTGCCATGAAGTAGGCACTTAATAAATCATTCCTTTTCCGTCTTGTCTATAGCCTTAGATGAGGCGCTCCCCACAGGCAGGGACCACACATCCATTTTGCTGGGAAGCTCTCAAAGATGAAAGTGGTAATCTTCCATTTCTCCTGTGTGCTACCCAGGGGCTGGCGTAGAGATACGGAGTTAGCCTCATCATCTGGAAGGCCTGGGATCAAGCCCTGCCTCTGACTCCGACTGGCTGTGTGACCCTGGGGAAGTCACTTACACTCTCAGTGCCCTAGGCAGCTCTTTCAGACTAAGCTGCAGCTGATTTCACTTGTAAAACTGAGAGCATATTGCTTCCTTCTCAAAGAAAGGAGGAGAGAGAATTTAGAACTCAGAATTTTAAAACATGAATGTTGAGAATTTTTTATACATAATTGGGAAATAGTTTAACAAAGTAAATAAAAATATATGTTTTAAAAAAGATGTAAGTTGGAGAGGAAATGTCAAACTGTACTGGCTGAGGGATTTTCCCTGGGAGGACGGAGAGCTGGCCTGGTTGGTGGAAGGCAGTTCCCCATGTTGAAAAGTGTTTGCTCCCATACAGGCCAGGGGTACTGTGGGGAACCAGGATTGAATGGAAAAGTGGACAGTAGCAGAAGCTCAGCTCTGCTCCAATGCTTGCCCACAATGCCCAGGCCTTTGTACAGAGCAGGCACTGGGGATGATGTGGTTTCTGCCCCTGCCCCCAGGCTCTCTGGTGTCCAAGGTCAGGGGAGGAGCATATGAATGCAGGAGAGTCTCGGAGGGCCCCCTCACCTTTACAAGCGTCACGTCCTGATGGGACAGCTGGCTCTGAGGGAGCTTGTCCTTCTGCATGACCCATGGGTGCTGGAGAACCTGGTTGGCTGTCAGGCGCCGGTGAGGGTCCACGTGGAGCATCTTAGACACCAGATCCTGGAGGGGGCAGAAGGAGAAAGAGCCAGTGTGAGCAGGGAAAGCCCAGTGCCCACACCCAGGGTCACACCCAGGACCGGCTCCCCCAAGGGAGTCAGGGTCAGGGACCAAGCAGTCCAGGGGCAATGACTTGGAAACTCCCTCCATCCAAGGGGTGGCTGCTGCCACACAGCCACAATTTCAGCAGGGCTGCCCTGGAAGGAAGGGGGGGGCACACATGGGATGTCTGGTTTGTCATCACAACGGGAGAAATAAGGCAGGGGAAGGCTTGCTTTTCTTTTCCTGAAAAGACCCTGCTGCTAATGCCTTCCCCTCTGAGACCACCTTCCTTCTACTCGGAATATATTTTGTTTGAACCTAATTATTTATGTGTTGTTTCAACCACTAGAATGGGGACTCTGAGTGAAGGGACCTGCTTCACCTTTCTGTGTATCTCCAGGGAGTGGCACTATGCCTGGTCCAAGGAAGGCTAATTACAGGCTTTTCAGCTGATGCCTGATTGACCAGCACCGTATCTCCCCTAGGCCACAGCGAATGCTGCTTTGGGCCCCACAGCCTCACCTTGGCAGTTTCTGAAATCATGTTCCAGTTTCCACCACTGAGAGTGAATTTTCCTCCCCCGATCCGCGTCAGGATCTCCTCTGGGGTATCACTAGGACCATTTGCGAAGGGAGTGTATCTGGAGGGAAAAAAGTCAGTATACTTCTCATCATTCTGTCTCTTGTTTCTAAGACGGAAGGTCCTGAGACCTGCTGGGTCTGGGTAGAAAAGGCCCTCGTACACCAAGGGCCAGACCCGCTGGGAAGATCCGGCCACTGGACTTGGTTCCAAGAGGCCGAGGCAGACCTGAGGGGTGACTCAAGGGGAGAGGGGAGGGAAGGGTAGCTCAGAGCACAAGGATGTCCAGAGAAGGGGTGGGGGAAGCCAAGGCCTGAAATCCCAGAGACAAGAACTCTGGGCACCAGCTAGGTACTGATGGGACCAGCATATATATTCCCTTCGGAAAGCAAGCAATAAGATATCGATTATACACATGAAGTCATCTGCAGTTTAGTCTAAAAGAAGTGTCCATGGCACTGAGCGTAAGTGACTTCTCCAGGGTCATACAGCTGTCCGTGTCAGAGGCAGGGGCGCAGGGGAGCTATCTTGAGAATAATCTCAGGAGAGGGAGGGAGGGGGCAGGATTTTGAGGATGGAAGGACTTCCAACTACCTTGTAATCATTTTGTATATATTGTGTCCCAGTGTGTACACACACACACATATACTTACGGTATCTCAAAAGCCTTAGTGTAATTTTAAGATATTAAAGCTTAATGTGCACGTGTAATATTAATATATATGGTCTAAGCTATTAAATATTAATATTTAAGCTTTTAAAACTTAAAACTGCACTAAGACTTTTGAGACTGTGTGTGTATGTGTGTGTTGTTGTTATATACATACACACATAAATATGTGTCTTATGTTAGAATGTAAGCTCCTTAGGGGGCAGGTTCTATTCTACCTTTGCCTGCACACAGTAGGAGCTTCATAAATGGTTGATCGATTAAGACTTGGGCTCTCACAGAATAGACATAAATGGATTTTTCCTTGAATTGATATAAAGCATTTACCTAAAATCATCCACAGGCACTATTTGGAATGGGCATAAGCTAAAAGCCTTCCCAGTAAGATTATGAGTGAAACAAGGATGCTCACTGTCACCAATATTATTCAGTATTGTAATGGAATCATAGCAATAGCAGTAAGAGAAGAAAAAGAATTAGAAGGAATCAGAATAGGCAATGAGGTTATAAAACTATCTCTTTTTGCAGATGATATGATGATATTTTGGAAAATACTAAAGATTCAACTAAAAAGTTAGTTGAAACAATCATTTTAGCAAAGCAGATCATCAGCATGCCTATATATCACCAACAAAACCTGGTAAGAAGAGACACCCCTATTTAAAATAACACCAGTCTAGACAGTATAAAATACCTGGGAGTACACCTGCCAAAACAAACCCAGGAACTACATGAACAAAATTATACAAATGAAATCAGATCTAAATAATTGGAGAAATATGAATTGTTCAAGAGTAGGCAGGGCTAATATAATAAAAATGACAATCTTAACTAAATTGACATATTTATTCAATGCCATCCCAATTAAATTGCCAAAAATTATTTTATTGAGTTAGAAAAAATAATAAAATGCATTTGGAAGAACAAAACGTCAAGAACGTCAAAGGAACTCATAAACAATGTAAAGGAAAGAGGTTTCTCAGCACCAGACCTTCAACTATGTCGTGAAACAGTAATTATCAAAACTGTCTGGCATTGGCTAAGAAATAGAAAGGCAGATTAGTGGAACAGAGCAGACACATGATATACAGCAGCATATAATTACTAGTAACCTTGTGTTTGACAAGTGTAAAGATAAGAATTCATTACTTGGTAAAAATTGTTGGGAAAGCAGGAAAGCAGTCTGGCAGAAAGTGGGCACAGACCAATATTTTACACCATTTACTAAGAGAAGGTCAAAACAGGCACATGACTTCGATATAAAAGGAGATATTACGAGAAAATCAGAAAAACATGGAACATATTTACCTATCAGACTTATGGACAGATGAACAATTTGTGAATAAACAAGAGAGAGAACATTATGAGGTCCAAAATGGATAATTTTGATTACATTAAATTAAGAAGTTTTTGTATAAAAACAACGTAGCCAATATCAAAAGGAAAGCAGGAAATTGGGGGGGAAATGTTGTAGACAACTTCTCAGCTAAAGTTTTCGTATCTCAAACATATAAAAAAAACTTTGTCAAATCTATAAGCATATGATTCATTGCCCAATTGACAAATGGTCAGAGGATATGAACAGTTTTCCAATGAAGAAATCAAAACAATTTATACTCATATGAAAAAAAAACGCTCTAAATCATTGATTACAAAAATGCAAATTAAAAGAGCTTTGAGGTGTCACTTTACACCTCTCAGACTGGCTAAAATGATAGCAAGGGGAAACAGCAAATGTTGGAAGAAATGTGGATAAATTGGAACATTCATTCACCATTGGGGGAACTATGAACTAATCCAACCATTTTGAAAAGCAATCTGGAACTATGCCCAAAGTGTTATTAAAGTGCGTATACCCCTTGATCTAGCAATACCTCTATTAGGTCTGTTTCCCAAGATGATTAGGGAAAAAGGTAAAGAACCTATATGTTCTAAAATATTTATAGCAGCTCTCTTTGTGGTGGCAAAGAACTGGAAATTGAAGGGATGCCCATCAATCGGGGAATGGCTGAATAAGCTGTGGTATATGATTGTAACGGAATGCTACTGTGCTGTAAGAAATGATGAGCAGGGTGATTTTAGAAAAACATGGAAAGACTTGTATGAAACAATGAGTGAAATGAGCAGAACCAAGAAAATGCTGTATACAGTAATAGCAATATTATTTTAAGAACAACTTTGAGTGACTAACTCATTTTGAGTGTTATAAATAACCCAAATTAATTACAAAGGACCTATCTGCCTCCAGAAAGAGAACTGATAAATAGAAGTATGCATAGTATGGTTTTTCATACATATATTTATATTTATATATATACATACATATATATGTGTGTATATATATATATATATATATATATATATATATATATATATACCTATATACACATACACATATATACACACACACACATACATATTTCTAATGGTAGCCATCTCTAGGGTAGGGGATGGGGGGAGGGAGGGGAAAAATATAAAAAGTGCACAGCAGAGAATAAAAGAAAATGTAGAAGGAAGCATGGAAAGCAGAGTAGCTTTGAAAATGAGAAGCAATACTTATATAGTTTTTAAAAAAAAGTAAATAGTGTGAAATGCAAATTCATGGTTTTATAGTAAATCCTCTTTTTGGGCTGCGCTGTGCAATGGAAATGTTATTTTTTTGTCTACGTATTTGTGAGAAGTGATTATTAATAACCAATATCTTGGGGAGATTCAGAGCTGTCCCCTTCTTCCAAATTACCGATTTTAAAAAGTTACGTTTCTTGAAGGACATTACTGATAATGAGACTGAATTAATTCTGGGTCTTGGTCAGATCCCACCCAACTTTACCAGGAATTTAATCTAAGGTGGGGAAGCCCATTTTGTTCTACTCCAGAAGACAGATCCTTTGGTCTAGATAGCTCAAGGCTGCGGGTGGTTTGAGTATAGACAGAATTGCTCTGTATAAGGTTGACTGATGTCACCTTCGGGCCCCTTACTGAACCCTACTACATAAACTGTGAGCCCTGCCTCCATGACGGTCTTCCATCTAAGAGAGATGGCCTAATGACCATCCTTTTATTAATAACTCGCTGGCCTTATCAGAAACTATGTCTCTTGAACCTTTTTAATCATCACATATTGGCAAAGAATTGGAAATTGAGGGGATGCCCATTAGTTGGGGAATGGCTGAACAAGCTGTGGTATATGAATATAATGGAATATACTATTGTGCTATAAGAAATGATGAGCAGGCAGACTTCAGAAAAACCTGGAAAGACTTGTATGGACTGATGCTGAGTGAAGTGAGCAGAACCAGGAGAATGTTGTACACAGCAACAGCCACGGTGTGCAATGACTGATTTTAATAGACTTGGCTTTTCACAGCAATGCAAGGATCTAAGACATCTCCAAAAGACTCATGATGGAAAATGCTATTCACATCCAGAGAAAGAACTATGGAGTCTGAATGCAGATCGAAGCAGACTATTTGCTCTCCTTGTTAGTGTTTTGTTTTTTTTCTTCTTTCTTGTGTTTCCTCCCATTAGTTCTAATCCTTCTTTAAATCATGACTAATGTGAAAAATATGCTTAATATGAATGTATAAGTAGAGCCTATATCAGATTGCATGCCATCTTAGGGAAGGGGGAGGAGAGGGAGGGGGAGAAAATTTAAAACTCAAAATCTTATGGAAGTGAATGTTGAAAACTAAAAATAAATAAATTAATTATTTTTTAAAAATCATAACATATTTAAGTTCAAGATGAATTTTTAAAAATTTTTGAAAAAAAAAAGACAGGCTCCTACAGCCATAACAGGAGACTGAGCTGAAGCAGCAAATTTTCCCCAAGGGTGGAGACAAGAGCCTGTCCATAGCAAGAGAACTGAGTGAATATGAAGGGCAGGCCCAGGTCGATGGTTAGGCCAGAAGAAGCCTGGAACAATGGGCTGAAGGCCAGGATTAAGTTAAGTGAAGGCCAGAGACTTTTAGAGCTGAAAGACATTGTTTGGTCCAACCCCCTCATTTTATAGATGAGGAAACTGAGGCTGAGAATTGGGAGATGGCTTGCCCAAGTGCTAAGTGCCAGAGCTGAGAGCTGCCCTCGCTTCCCCTGACACCAAATCCAGGGCTCCTCACTCCCCTCTTGCCTGGACCATTTCAACATTCCAACAAATTGTCCTGTCTCCATTCTCTGTTCCCTCAAACGCATCCTACGTGTTGGGGCCACATAGGTTTTCTTATTCTTGCCATCTTCGTAAAGATAACAGAAATAGTGATAGCTAATAATTGAACATATATTTATACATATGTACATGTATACATGCATATACATATATGTATGTGTGCATATGTATACATATATATGTATGATATATATGGCAGCTAGGTGGCTCAGTGGATAAAGCACTGAGCCTGGAGTCAGGAAGACTTCAGTTCAAATCTGACCTCAGACATAAACTACTTGTGTGACCTTGGACAAGTCACTTAATCCTGTTTGCCTTAATCTACCAGAGAAGGAAATGCCACACTACTCCAGTATCTTTCCAAAGAAAACCCCATGGACAGTATGGTCCACAGGGCCATGAAAAGCCAGACACTACTGAACACACACACACACACACACACACACACACACTATATAAATATACACACACACATATATATATACACACATATATACATTATACACACATGCACACTATATATACACATACAACATAATACATATACACATACATACACATACCCACATACAATATATATAATGCTCTAAGGTTTCTAAAGTGCACTAAGCCTCTCTTTTGGAGGCTTTTATGTGGGGCTTTTGAGTTCACAAAGAGTTTCTGTTCCTACCAAACTCACGGGGCTGTTGCAAGGATTTCTACCCCCATTTTACAGATGAGTAAACCGAGGCCCAGAGAGATAACACAACCTGCCCCAAGGTCCCATGAGTTGTAACTGGCAGGGAGGGAACTTCAGCCTTGCCCTTCTGGCTCCTGATCCTGGGTGTTGCCCACCTTGCCACCTCTCCAGCGATCTAAGAACCTGCCCCTTTCCATTACCTCCCTTTCCCTGGCAGTAAATAAACACTTGAAAGGTTCATGTGCCATTCTGGGGGAGGAGGAGGGGAGGAGAAGCTGGGAGTTCAGCCTCTCAGGGGTCATGGGAGGAGGGAATTCAGAAGAGATCTCATCCTCTGAGGGTGGGGCAGGCCACTTACCCAGCCAGCATGGTATAGAGAAGGATACCCAGGCTCCAGATGTCACAGCCTTCATCATACCCCTGGCGCCTCAGGACCTGGACGAGAAGAGCAATATGCACAAATGATTACTGGCATCTACGCAGCACTAGGAGGTGTATGAAGCAGTTTCTATGCATTATTTCATTTGCTTCTCACTACAACCCTGTGAGGAAGCGATAGGAGGCCTCTCAGAGCCTAGGATGCATCGCCCCATGCCACCGTGTTTGCCTCCAACTGACATGGGGCTCTAGCCTCCTGGTGCCACAAGACAAGTGGCCCAGTGCATGGTGGGGGAGGAAGGATTCCCTCTTTGGGGGATGCCAGGTACAAGCAGGGGCACCAGCCTGCCTTTTCCTGGGTTCAATTCACAGTATCATAGATTTAGAGCCAGAAAGGGCCTTAGCACCCATGAAGCCCAACCCCCTCATTCCACAGAGAGGAAATTGGGCCAAGTGGCTAAAGGACTTGCCCAAGGTCACACGGCTAGGCAGTGTCTGAGACATAACTTGAACCCAGGTCATGGGATCAGACTTGGAGCTAGAAGGAACCTTAGAGACCATCCAGTCCAATCCCCTCATTTTACAGAAGGGGAAATTGAGGCTTAGAGAGGAAAAGGGCCTTGTCCAAAGTCACAGGATCATAGATTCAGGGCCTCAGAGGCCAACCCGTCTAACCCCCTCATTTTACAGAAGGGGAAACCAAGTTCAATTCCATTCAGTTTAACAAGCATTTATCAAGTGCTGCGCTAGATGCTAGCAATGCAGAGACAAAGTTAACCAGCCCGTTTTCAAGGAGCTTCTGTTCTATCCGGGCAAACACTGACACAGACGACTAAGTCCAGGTGACTCACCAGGTTACCTGACTGGCTTAATAAAAATAGCCGCCTGAAAGAAGTAAAAAGCCAATGCAAAATCTCTATAACCATCTGTTAACCACAGAAGAGTTCCAGATGACACCATGGAAGGGACAGGAAGGATGGGATGGGGACACAGGAGGGGTGGACTGACCTGGGGGGCTCCACGGGGATGCTCAATGGAAGCTCCTCGTCCATTTAAACTGAGCAGGATGCTCAGGAGCAGGTCCTAGGAGGGGTAGGGGCCAGACCGGGCCTCAATCCCAGGAGCCCCAGGGTGGAACGGGAAGGGCACGGGGACTCTGCTCACCTCTGGGGCCACAAAGTTGGCGGTATAGCAGGGGGTCATGAGGAGCCCATTCTCCGCTCGAAGCTGCTTGGCAAAGCCGAAGTCACAGATTCGGATGCTCTCAGGGTTCCCGGACTCGTCTACATAAAGGATGTTGCTGGGTTTCAGGTCCCTGTGCACCACCTGGGAGAAAAACAAGGTCCCTGAGGTCAGCCCCTGGGGAGGGGGGATGGGGAAGAGGGTCAAAGCATCCTGGTGCCAGCTCACTGAGGGGGCTAGCAAGAACCCACAGGGGTCTGAGAATGGGGAAGTCCAGATACTGGGAGGGCAGGCAATGAAGCAATCAACAGACATTTATTAAGCGCGTACTGTGTGCTGGACAGGGAGAACACAAGATAGGCGAGCTAATGAAGAGGCACAGGAAAGTCCATCCTGGGGCCAGAGGGTCAGCAGCATTAGAAGGAGAGTGGGAATGGAGAGGAAAATGCATCTTAGGCTCTGGAGGGAGGAAGGGGAGGAAGATAGGATCAGGGCTACTCAACGACACGCCGAAGGGAGAATAGTACCCGGTAGGGAGAGGCAGAGGGTAGATGAATGTTCCGGGGTCAGTTGTGCGGGAAGGGGGGAGGCCACTGGAGGGCAGGTCAAGGGGGCAGGGGCAGCATGCCAGAGGGGCAGCCACTGACAAGGAGAAGGACAAAGACACCTCCTTGGTCTTTTAACTGGATAGAATGTAAGGCCCTAGAGGGAAGGGACCGTTTCCACTTTTCTCTTAGGAGGTAGCTAGGCGGCACAGTGGATATAGTGTAGGACTGAGCGTCAGGAAGACCTGAGTTCAAATTCAACTGTAGACACTTATAAGTTGTGTGACCCTAAATAAGTCATGTAACTTCTGTCTGCTTTGGTTTCCCCATCCATAAAATGGGGATAATAATAGAACCTACCTCCCAGGAAAAATGGTGTCATATTTGTACAGTGTTTTGTAAATCTTAAAGCACTATATAAATGCTAGCTGTTGTTATTATCCCCCGTGACTATCATAGTGCCTGGCATATAGTAGGTGCTCAAATGCATGTTGCTTGACCAATGAGTCAATAAACATTTATTAAGGGCCTCCTAGGTGCCAGGAATGCTGCTCAGGCCTGGCCATGCTTGCTGTTGACTCTTGGATTGTGGCTCACACAGAGGAGAACCTATAGGGTGAAGGGTGGGAAGAAGGCAGAGGAGGCAGTCACTGGGAAGTTTTCTTTAAAAGGGCCGTCAAAATGAATACTACATTAAAAAGAGAATTGACCTGCTCTACAGTAAAATAGAAGGGGAGGGGGGGATAAGAGAAGGAGAGGAGAGATAGAAGGAGGGCAGACTAGGGGAAAGGGGTATTCAGAATGCATGCCATCTTGGGGTGGGGGGAGGGGCAAGATGGGTGAAAATTTGGAACTCAAAATCTTGTGGAAGTGAATGTTGAAAACTAAAAATAAATAAATTTTTAAAAAAGAAAAAAATCTAAAAATAATAAAATAAAATTTTTAAAAAGAGAATTTAAAGCTAGATCAGGGCTCCATAACCCCTTTGGTCTGGAGGGCCCCATGGGGCCATGGGCAGGGCCAGGGAGAGGGAAAAGTGAGGGTGCGGCTGAGGCCTCCCATCCCACACTGTCTGCACCACACGATTTAGCAATTCACTGGTCTCTGTTTCACGCACCTGTGGGTTCAGCGAGGACAAGGGCTGTGCCTGATACCTGTGTCTCCTCTTTAGGGAACCTAGCACACCCACTACATGTGCCAAGTAAATATGTGTTAAGTAACTGAGAAGGAGAAACTGAAGGGCATAGGAGAAATACCCAGAGGGATGGGCTCCCAAAGCTATTAGACTGTGTATAGATACAGATACGGCTGCTGGAGCTATCCCCCAAAAGAGATCAAAGAAAGAGGAGAAGGGTCCACATGTACCAAAATATTTACAGCAGCTCTTGTGCAAAGAATTGACATTGAAACGCCCATCAATAGGGGAATGGCTGAAAAAGCTATGGCGGACTACTGTTGTGCTGTAAGAGATGACGAAGGGGAGAGTTTCAGAAAAACCCCGGAAAGATGGGTATGAACTGATACAAAGTGAAGTGAGCAGAACCAAGGGAACAATTCATAAGGTAACAGCAATACCACAAAGATAAGCAACTGTGAAAGACTTAGTAACTGATCAACACAGTGCCCAACCACAATTCCAAAGAACTCGGATTGAAACAGAGCTGACCAAAGGATTCTTGACGGAAAATGCTGTCTGCAGCCAGAAAAAGAACCACGGAGTCTGAGTGCAGATCTTTTCTTTTCTTTGGTTGGTTTGTTTCTTCTTTCTTGTGGTGTCTTCCATTGGTTCTAATTCTTCTTCACAACATGACTATTGTGAAAATAGGTTCAATATGAATGTATGTGGAGAGCTAATTGCTCTCCATGGCTCACTGTCTTGGGGTGGGGGGGAGGGGAGAGAAGGGGAGAAAACTTGGAACTCAAAATCTTATGGAAGTGAACATTGAAAACTAAAAATAAATAAATAAATTTAATAATAATAATAAAAAAAAGAAATAGCTGATAGCTTTAGAGTACAGGATGAAGCATATTTTCTTCAATTTTTTTGTTTTTCTTACTTTTGTGTTTTTGGGGAGGGGATATGGCTAATGCAGAAGTCTTTACATATTTGCAATGGGTTTTATTTTTCCTGCCTTCTCGATGGGTGGGGAAGGGAGGGGGAGATAGAATTTGAAACTTAAAATAAAATAAATTTTTTTTTTTTAGGCAATTGGGGTTAAGTGACTTGCCCGGGGTCACATAGCTCAATTTTTTTTTTTTAAGGAATCTCAGCAGATCCTTTTCCCCCCGGCCAATCCCTGGTCAACTGGTTTTCCTAAAACAGATCTGATCACATCACTCCACTATGCAAACATCTTCAATTGCTTCCTATTGTCTCTAGGATAAAATACAGAATTCTTAGCCTGGCATTTAAAGTCCTTCACAATTTGGGTCCCACCCACCTTTTCAGTCTTAGTTTCAGTTACATGCTATCTGTCTGACCTTGGGCAGACTCTGGGTTATAGTATCTGTTTATAGGATAGCTCTCTAAGGTCTAAATTCCCACTTCTGAATTCTATGACCCTATAAACCATGCCTGACTACTGCCAGGATCAAAGGAAGCCACCACCAGATTTATTTAGCAACAATAAACCTGTGCGTCCATAGAGCTGGGAGGGTCTTCCAAGTGACCACCTTTTCATCTCCCTTGAGAAGGGGGGAATATAATAGATGAGTAGGGGAAAGAGAGGCTAAATTTGAGAAGTGTCTACTCTAAGATGAATAGATATTCATCACATCACATCATCTCAGACCTAGGAGGAACCTCCAAGGTCATTTAGCCTGACCTCTTCCTAATATAGGAATTTCCGTATCTGTAACATCTGTAACAAGTGGTTATCTAGTCTTTGCTTATAGAGGAAGGAAAGGAAGGAAGGAAGGAAGGAAGGAAGGAAGGAAGGAAGGAAGGAAGGAAGGAAGGAAGGAAGGAAGGAAGGAAGGAAGGAAGGAAGGAAGGAAAGAGGAAAAGGAGGGAGGGAGGAAGGAAGTGAGGAAGGGAGGGTGCCTACTCTGTGTCAGGCATTCTGAAAAGCCCTTTACAAATATTGTCTCATTTCATCCCCGTAACAACCCTAGGAGGTAGGTGCTATTATTATCCCCATTTCAGTTGAGGAAATTGAGGCAGACAGAGGTTAAGTGATGCCAAGGTTCACATAGCTGGTAAGTGTCTGAGGCTAGATCCAAGGCTCTATCCACTGAGCCACCTAGTTGCCTCTAGAGACAGAAATCACTACCTCCTGAGGCAGCCCATGCTAATTTTGGAAAGGTACATACATTAAATAATGTGTCCTCATACAAGCCCCAAATTTGCCTCTTTCTGCAAATTCTATTTTTTTTTGGGGGGGGTAAGGGCAATTGGGGTTAAGTGACTTGCCCAGAGTCACACAGCTAGTGAGTGTTTTTATGTGTCTGAGGCCAGATTTGAACTCAGGTCCTCCTGACTCCAGGGCAGGTACTCTATCCACTGAGCCACCTAGCTGCCACCTCTTTCTGCAAAATTCTACCCCACTGCTCCTCACTCTGCCCTTTGGGGTGACAGAAAGCAAGTTTTCCATCAACAAAACTAACCACTTAGAATGGAATTCAGGGCCCCCTCCTGACTATCCTGCCTTATCTCTCATTGCTTTCTTGAGATAGAACAAATCCTTTCCAACAAGCCAGCCTTTCAAATACTGAAGCTCAGTAATGCCTAAGTGTTCTCTGCTTCAGATTAAACATTTGCAGTACCTTCACCCTATTCTGGCCCCGGTCTCTGCCGATCACTCCATGACCTCTGAGAAGTCACTTTACTTTTTTTTTTTCCAGGCCTCAGTTTTCTCTTTTGTAACATGAGGGGTTGGTGGGTGGTGGTCATCTAGATCCCCAGCGGTCCTACCCAGCTCTAACTCCTAATATCCGCTGGCTCCAACGTAGGGAGATCTTTCTGGACCTCGATTCTGTCCTCTGATACATTAGCCCCTCTTGCAGGCTGCTTTCAGAAGATCAATGCCCGACACACTAACACAGCTGGGTTTGACACAACCCCAGGAGGGCTCACTCAGCCTGGCGCTGCCCTCCCTGAAAGGACTGATTCCGCGGCCCCTTCTTATTCTCCGACATCCACCATCCACGCTGGTCTCTACGATTTGCTTTAAAGCTCAGTCCTAGTGTGTCCTCTGCTGGCCTCCCTTGGCTTTGGAGGCTCTAAGCTGCCCGGGGCACAAAGGGACTCCAGAGAGCTGAGGTCATGGTGCTTGGTGACTACTTGACCCAACCCCTGCCTACTCATGCATTTAATGTAGATGATCATTCTTCCCCCAGCATCTGGCAGCCTCCAACTGCCCCCTGCATAGAAAGACCAGTCCAGGGGCCTAACACACCACTGGGATCACCTCACACTCCTGCTCAGAAACCTTTGATGGCTCCCTACTGCCTGCAGAGGTTCATGAGAAAGAGGAAAGCATGTGGCATTTGGAGTCACAGGGCCCTAAGATCAAATCCTGCTCCACCACTTACTAGCTGTACCATCTTGGACAAGTCATTTAACTTCCAAAGCCTCCGTTTTCTCATCTGTAAAAGGAGGAGGTTGGTCTAAATGGCCTCCATGCTCCCTTTAAACCTATGATCTCTGAATGATGTCTGAGTGATCCCTGGGACCCCGTTTTGACGATCTGCCCTTAGCTTTAACTACTCTCTTATTCAGAGCCTTCCAGGCCAGCCTGGTTAATCTCCCAAGATCACTCCTGCTTCCAAGCCTCGGCTTCCTCTCCCACCTTGTTCCTTCCCATTATATTTCAATTTCTTTCAGATGCAGAATCTACAGCTGGAAAGAGCTTAAGGAAATCTGCTTCCCTCAGTGACAGAAATGAAATTGAGGTCCATGAGAAATTAAATGATCCGTCCAAGGTAACACAGGTAGTAAAGGCCTGGGTCAGTCACACCATTTGTCCCCCCCCTTCACTGACTGCCATTTTCTCTGAGCTATCATCCTACTAAGGCAGCTAGGTGGCGCCATAGTGCACAGAGTGTCAGGCCTGCAGTCAGGAAGACTCATTTTCCCCGAGTTCAAATCCAGCCTCAGACCCTTACTAGCTGTGTGACCCTGTGCAAATCACTTCACCCTGTTTGCCTCAGTTTCCTCATCTGTAAAATGAGCTGGAGAAGGGAATGGCAAACCACTCCAGTATCTCTGCCAAAAAACCCCCAATAAGGGTCACAAAGAAGCAGACACGACTGGAATAAAACAACAACGAAATCATTTCCCTGACATTTATTGAGAGCCTGCTATGAGCAGGGCTAAGTGGCAGCTCCTGGGGATATAAAAAGAGGTAAATCATTGTTGTAGCCTTCAAGATTTCTAAGGGGCTAGGGAGACAGGATGGACAGAACTAACATATACACCCCACGGGCCCAAGAAGGAGTATTCTAAGAGTCTGAAGGAAAGAGAGATGAGTGTGGGCTGGTGTGATCAAAGGAGGCCTCTGGAAGGACGGCAGACTTGAGCTGGGCCTTGAAGGAGGGAAGAGGATTTCATAGTGTAGGGAAGAGGGCATTCCAAGTCGGGGGGAATGATGTATACAACAGGTTCAAAAGACCCAGTGCTAGACAGCACCTTAGAAGACACTTAGTACAACCTCATTTTACAAATGAGGAAACTGAGGCCCAGAGAGATTAAGTCACACGGGCAGGAACTGAGCTCAGGTCTACCAGACTCTGCGTACCATACATCCCTCATGGCCAAGACGTGCTAAGGCCCCCCCACCCCCACCTCCTTCACCAGCCCCTTGGGGATGACTCACCCCCTGGGAGTGCAGGTACTCCATGGTCCGGCAGAGTGTGTGCAGGACAGAGCTGGCCTCACGTTCTGAGAAGAACTTCTGCCGAAGAATCTTGTCCAGGAGCTCCCCGCCTCGCATCAGCTCCGTCACCAGGTACACGTGCTTGCCATCATCATACACCTAAGGAGGCAGAAGAGGAAGATGTATGTGCGGCTGCCTGTGAACCCACCTACGAACCTCCCCGGTGTCACCGGATCACAGAGCTAAAGCTGGTCCTCCAAGGTCACTGAGGAAGCTGCCACCCAGGGGGGTTTAGTAACCAAAGATCACATAGATAAGAAGGGCGGAGCTCAGATTTGAACTATACAACCCTGTAGAACACCAGAGCACAGATTTGGAGCTTGAAGGGACCCTAGGGGCCATCTAGCCCAATCCCCCCCCCCCTTTTTTTAAAGGAAGAAACTGAGGCACGGGGAAGTTAACATCCAGGTAGCTCTCTGTTGGGTGAACCTCACTCTTCTCCAAGTTGGGAGGGAGGCAGCAGATGCCCCACCTCCAAGGCTTGTATCACCTACGTGACTTTGAGCCTCCGTTAGGCCTGTTTGGCCCTCAAACTAGGCCTAGGCCTCAGTTTCCCCTGTAAAATGAGTGGATTGGACTAGCAGGTCTCTGAAAATTCTTCTGGATCTAGAAAGATCCCATCTATTATTGCAAGGCCCAGTGCTTTGAACTGGGGATAAAAAGATGAAAGACAACATGGTTCCTGGCCGCAAGGACAAACAGAAGTGATGTAGCCAACACACAATTAAGTATGACTACAAGGTAGAACACGGTAGGAGCACAGGAGAGGTTCAGACAAAGGGGAGGGGCTGCTTTCACAGGGGGAGGGAGGAGAGATTGGGGAAGCTTCATGGAGCAGGGGCCACAAAACTTGAATGAGGAGCAGGATGTCAGCAGCAACAGGTGAGAAAGGAGTGTGCTCCTGGCACGCAGCAAAATGCAGAAGGAGGGGGAAGGGCAGGACAAGATCAGGAAACCAAGAAGCAGCCAGCTGGGCTGAGCTATAGTGTGTAGAGGAGTCTTGGAAAGCCTGGCTGGAAAGGGAAGAAGGAGTCACACTACAATGGGCCTTAAATGTCAAGCTCAACTTTCTTGGGTAGAAAATTGGAAACGATGGAGATGTGATGGCATGATATTGTGCCGTAAGAAACAATGATGAGGAATTCTGGGAAGCCTGGGAAGAGTTCTATGAACTGAAGCAGAGTGAAGCAGGCAGAACCAAGAAAACATACCCGACCACAACAATGCAAACAGAGAGAACAAGAGGTCCCAGACAGAACCCGCGTAACTACAGTGATCACACCTGGCTCCCAGGAGGAGCTGAGGAAATGAACCTCCCTCCCTCTGGCGGGGGATGGGGGACCATGCTTATGAAATACTGCAGATACCATTAGACACAGTCTGTGCTCGGCTGGTTTTGCCAAATTGTTTGTTTTTTCCTTTATAATCTTGATTATGTGGGTTGGCCTCACAGGTGGGTTGGAGAGGGTTAGATTTAGAAACAAATTAATATAAAAACAATAGAGTGCCAATAAAAATGAGAGGGAGTGTGGCCTAGTGGATAGAGAGCCACACCACCAGGAAGATCTGCTCTGAGATACGCTGCCTTTCCAAGCGTTCTAGGCCATTCTCTAAGATTCCCAGTTAGAGGGGTGTTGACTTGCATTGGGAGAGGGGAGATCCTCATCCAGAAATTCCCTTTACCCATGAGATAACAATCCGATCCCTATCTCTATTCTAGCAGTAAAAATCAGATCATGGCCCATGGAGCCTGAATGGCAGAAATATTATGATTACAAATCCCCTGTGCAAAACTTTCCTGTGGGCTAAAGTTAACTTCACAGGTATGGCTTTTTTTTCTTATTGTTTAAAGAAAGTAGTTAGAATTTTAAATAAACAAACAAATTTTGTAAAAAATCAGATTAATTTTTTAAAATGCCAGGCTGAAGAGATCGTAAGGTTGTATTCTGTCTTAGATGCAATGAGGACTGTAAGCTCATTGGGGGGAGAGGGAATTGCTGCTTCTTTTTTCATCTTTGTATCCCGGCATCTCCAGCCTATTAAAATATAATTGAGTTAATCAAACAGAAAATCCTTTGCAAAGTTATCTACAAATATGAGACTCTACTGTACGCAGCCACATTTGAGGTCTTGCAGATCCCTCATTTGCGTGTGGCATTTGATGAACATTTATTAAATGCCTACTGTGTGCCAGGCACTGTGCTAAGTGCTGGGGATGTAGAAAGAGGCAAAAGCCAGTCCCTGCGGTCAAGGAGCTCACAGTTTAATGGGGGGAAAACCAGGCAGGCAAATAGATACATAGTACCTATTTGGATACTCAGAGATGGTTCGGGAAGTTGAAAGAAAGGGAGGAGTCAATGTTGATTGAGATTTTGGGGGGCCTAGGAAGGGGGATGGGTAGATTTAGACAACAGGCAAAGGCAGGCAAAGGGCTCTAGGTTGGTAGCCTGGTGACCTGGGTTCTTATCCACCTTTTATCACTGTGACGGTGTAACCTTGGACATAGCACAGCCTCTTAGAGCCTCTATTTCCTCATCTGTAAAATAGAGGCCATGACTTAAGAGAAACCCTTAACCAAGCCAGCGTGGGAGCTTGGACACCACTGCAGTTCTGCCCACAACCACCCTCCTTTGCTCTGGGGCCTCTTCTCCTTGAATTTCCCTGCTTCCTTTCCCCCCTACTCACATCTTTCAGGGTGATAATATTGGGGTGTTGGCCATAGCGCAGAAGGATTTCTATCTCCTCTGAGGGGTCCCTCTTGCTCTTGTCGATGACCTGGGAGAGAAGAAAGAAGGGAGATTGGGAGGAGATGAGGATGGAAGCCAGGCCACTAGGAGAGGGGTAATGGGACATGCCAAAGGTTCAAAGTTCATGTATCCCCTGGAGTGCTGAGCCTATACCCTGGAGGCTGGTGTTTAATGGAGGAGTTAATCCCAGGGTTAACTAACCACCTCCCCCCTCCCAGCTGTAGCCTCCCTGGCCACATCCATCCTCAGTGCAGGAATACTGGGGGGGGGTGCTATGGGGTGATCCCCACCTTGACCGCATACTCCATGTTGGTGGCCTTGTGGATACAGCGCTTACACACAGAGTAAGAGCCAACTCCAATGGTCTCCTTCACGACATAGCCATCACTGAAAACCAAGCTCTTCCCATGAAGTTGCTGGGGAGTGGGTGGGGAGGAGATAAGGAGAGAAGTTTCAGAGAGTGGCCCCCTTACTCTCTCCCCTTCCAGTCCCAACCCTCAGGTGGTTCTCTCTCACAGCCTTGGCAGGAAGAGGTGGGGAGCCTAGAACCATCAATGGTGCCACGAAGGATTCACATGCAAGAACATGGATCCATCCCCAGAGAAGAAAGTGCTAAGTCAGTTGCTGGGTGGGAGCATCAGGGATCTAAGTGTTCAGGGCACGTGCCGAGCAATAGAGGCTTTCATCAGCACAGTTGGTGCCTTCTCATCTAGGAGCGAGACTCCGTTATCCAAGTGAAGAGCAGAAAGATCAATGAACCAGGAATCATGAGACATAGGCTTGGTCCTTGGCTCTACTGCTCATTCCCTATGTGACCTAAGTTCCCTCATCTGTCCAATGGGGACGAGAATCCTTGCCCTCCTACCTCAGAGGAATGTCATGAGCCTCTGAAACACTAGATAGATATGAAACAACTCTGAATAACACAAAGTTCTACGCGGACACGATAACAAGTATTATTACTATCAGCATAAAGGAAGAACTAATACCTAGGATGGTCTGAAAGCAGACTGGGCTGCCTCTGTAGGGGGAGTGAGTTCTCCATCAGTGGAAGTATTTAAGGAAAGACTGGATGACCCCCCGTTGGGTCTCCTGGTCACAGAGTTCACTGGGATGTTGTTAGTGAGGGGAACTCCCTTCACCCATGCAGGTTGGCATCTTCTCTACGACTTGAGAGGCTGACTTGCCCAAAGTGGAGCATCTAACAGGTCAGAGGTGGTCAGCCTCCAAGGCCAGCTGTCCAGCTACTACACTTTCCTGTTCACTTGACGACCTCTTGGGTCTTCACTGGCTCTGGGGCTATAATTAGGCCCACCACTCATGGTCCTTGCCCTGGGAGGCCCTGATGCCTCTTACATTCTAGGTATGCCCCTAGCAACAAGCTTTGGCCTTGTTCTGGCCAAACTCCCCTGAGGACCAGGCGACCGTTCTGGTCCAGCCCTAGTCTTCAGAGGCTGGGTAGAAAGTCCTTACTAGGACTAGCCTCAGGCCTCATACCTGGACCACTGAGTGCAGTGGGGCCTGTGGGGCCCGGACTTTGCCATCGTCATCCATCAAACCTGTAGCCACAAAGCTGAAGCCCCGGAAGAGCTGGTGGGCCCCGGCACTAGGGGGGATGCCCGGGGAGTCTAGGAGAGAAAGAAGGGAATGTTGAACACCCAAAGCTACAGAGCAGGTAGGGCCCAGCTGCCTCCTTCCCTCTCCCTGGTGGGGCCAAACACTCTGACTCTGGTCCCCTAGACCCATAGAGGCAACACCGAGTAACAGAAGAGCCAGCTTTATCATTTATGAGCTGTGTGACCTTAGGCAAATTACTTAAGATCTTTGAGCCTGTTTCCTTAACTAGAAAATGGAGGTAATATTTGTCACAAGATAATTGTGAGGATTAAATGTGGGAATGTGGGGAAGTGCTTTGTACCTGCAAAGCCCCTCAGGCAGCCCCATTCAGACAGCCCGATGCGGGCTCTGAATCATGGAATCAGGGGTTGAGGGTAGGTGGGTGGGGATCTCAGAGCACAGGCTGGGAGCTGAATGAAGCTGTGATATGCAATAGAGAGGAAGGAAAAAAGCTGGACTTTGGCTCTTCTATGTGTTAGCTGTGTGACTCTGGGCAAGTCACTTCCCCCGGGCCTGTTTCCTCATCTGTAAAATGGGGTGAGTGTTGGCCTAGATCAGGAGTTCTTCACCTGGGGTCCACAAACTTGGTATTTAAAAAAATATGTTCTTACTAGCTCTGTGACTCTAGGCAAGTCACTTAACCCCATTGCCTAGCGCCCCCCCAAAATACATATTTCAATAACGATGTCAACTGAATTGGTTTTCTTTGTTCTCCTGGCTATTGTATTTTATGCATTTTGAAACACGATTCTGAGAAGGGGCTTCCTCAGATGATCAAAGGGATCCAGGAGACACACAACGAGGTTACGGATTCCTGATCTATATGATCTTGAAGGCCCCTCCCAGATCTAAATCTACGATCATTTTACAGACAAGGAAACTGAGTCACAGAGAGATGAAATGATTTGCCCAGGATCACAGAGCAGTAAGCGCCAGAATCATAGATTTAGAGTGATGAGGAACCTTAGAGACCACCTGGTCCAACCTCTTCCTTTTACAAATGAGGAAACTGAGGCCCTCAGTGACTTGACCCTGGTCACACACCTAATAAATGGCCGGCTCCAGGGACTGGCGTCCTCTCCCCTCTCTAGGCCTCACGGTCTTCATCTCCCAAAACAGAGTGTAACATATACTACATGGCCTTCTCAGGGGTTCCAGAAGTTCCAGAGGCTCTCACCTCCTTCCCCTTCCTTCTCCCTCCCAGCCCTGTGGCCCAGGACCTATGGAGGAGAAGAAACTCGGTCCAAGGGCCACCTTCGACATGAAGCCCTTCTTGATCTACGGCTAGCACCATCCCCACTCAGATCACCTCATTTGTGTCTGTCGTCCATATGCTCCATTCTCATCCAACAGAACGTCATTTCCTTGAGTGCAGGGGCTGTCTTTGGGTCACTCTGTGCTAGGCACACAGGAGGCTCCTAGTAACTACTTACTGCCTGACTGACAACATATTAATTTACCTACCCTTGGGTGTTCGGGAAGTGAACTCCGTGTCAAAGTAGAAGGTGTCATCGGGTTGGGCGACTGCAGGCTTGAAGGGGGGTTTGATCTCACGACGAAACAGTTTCTGGAAACACAGTCCCAGTCTCCCAGGTGGCCTTAGACACCCCCAAAGCCTAAAGCAGAGGAAGGGACAGCTGCTCCGTCCCCCCAGGGCGGGGGGGAGTTGCTCCATGGCCACAGGGAGGTCTGGGAACCTGGGAGGTATCTGCCACTCCCAGATGGACCCGGAGGCACTACCTCTTCTCCCTAACCTTGATGCCCTAGGGCCAGAAAGGGGGAGGGGCTCTGCAGGGCAGTGGAAAGAGAAGCTGGGCTCAAATCTTGGCTCTTGCCCCTTCTAACCTCTGGGGTCATAAGCAAGCTACCTCTCTGGGCCTCAGTTTCCTGTTCTGTAAAATGAGAGAGTTAGACTAGATGGCCTCCACTTTAAAATCTGTGGTCATGCGGTTCAAAGCCTGACAGATTTCTTCCTGCCATCCTATAACAGGGCTGTGAATCTGTGGCTCAGAGAGGTCACAGAGGCCAGCCAACTGTGGCACCTTGCTCTGACCATGTGGATGCCAAATCCCCAGCCTCTGGGCTGCCAAGGGCCAGAGATCTCCAGGCCCATCTTCACACTGCCCCACAGCAAGGCAGGATCTCAGGGGCTGCTGAGACCCTCCCCCATCTCCAGTCCTAGCTCTTCCCCCAAGTTCCAGGGCCCCTGTCACAAGAGGAAGTCCTAGGCCCAGCTTGGGGTTGCTGTTTGTGATGTGAAGTTCTTCTCCAGAGCCTCCCCACCAAGGGCCCCCAGATTCTTGGATAAAGAGGGAAGGAAGTAGCCTAAGAGGAAACAGCTTTAAATCTATCGATTGTGGGAGGGCGAGGAATGGGGGAAGGCATTTGGGGAGGCACTCAGAGCCAGGGACTTTACTGGATAGAAATCTTTCTTCTTCCCTGCCCTACCTCCCACCCTCAAATTTTCCCAGGGCAGTCCAGGGAAGGTGAAGTCAGGGATGGAGGAGTGTACCATGGGGAAAGGAGAGAGGGAAAGCAGCTGGGGGTGGGGAAGGACAACTCACATTCCAGTCTATGGTAGAATAGAAGACATGCCTCTTAATCTCTTCGGCACCATCAGTACCAGAGCCTGAAATATTAACAACATTACTCTGCTGTGCCCGTGAGCATTTTATCTTCTTACTCCTAGACCGGTGTCTTTGCTGTGGCATGGAGGTAAGCCTGACCCCCCAAGGCTACATGAGTTCTGGTGAGTTCCACGGAGCTGTTGGAGCTTCTGGCAAGAACCCACCCAGTGACGGGCCCCCAGCTCTGCTCTCTGGGGACCAGCAGAGCTGAGTTCGAGTCATGGCCAGAAGGCTGGTATTCAATGCCCTTTGCAGTCTGGCTCTGGTCTCTTCCAGGCTGATTACACTTTACTTAAGCTCTCTACTTCAAACAAGCTGGCCTTCTCAGGGTTCCCTGAGCACAGCACTTGGTCTCCTGCCTCTGCACCTTTAACTGGCGGTCCCCCACGCCCAAAACGCACTCCGTCCTTGTTGCTATCTCTTCACATCTTACAAGGCTTAGCTCATGGGCCACCTCCTACGGGAAGCCTTCCAAGGTCCCCTTGGTTGGTGGCCCTATCTCTTGCCTCCTTAAATTTTCACATCTATACCTATCTGTTTCTCTGTTAAATCCACTTCCTGTCAACCCCAATTCAAGAGTAGGAACTGTTTTTCATCTTGCCTTTATGTGCTCAGAGCACTTAATAAGTACTTACTAGATTGGATAAGCCATGGGGATGGACAGAACAGTGGATAAAAGGGAGTCCTGAAGTATGGTCCTCTTTGGCTCTCTAGGACTGGTGGAGAGCAGGTGGGATTTATCATCTCAGATTTTTTAATTTTTTTTAATTTTTTTAGGCAATTGGGGTTAAGTGACTTACAGCTAGTAAGTGTCTGAGGCCTTGGTCTGCGGCCAGATTTGAACTCAGGTCCTCCTGACTTCAGGGCTGGTGCTCTATCCACCGTGCCACCTAGCTGCCCCTTTCAGACTTTTTTAAAGAAGGAAGCTGAGGACCAGAGAGGTTAAGTGGCTGGCTCCAAATTGCACAGCAGAGGTAAGCGGCTGTGACCTCCTTCCCTCAGCCTCCAGGGGTCCTCAGGCTCACTGTCCAGAGGCCTCTCCTCTCTGCTCCTATCACCCTGGGTACTATTCCCTGGCCCTGGTGAGACAGCATCTTTTACAGCCACCCCCGAGCCCAGACAAGAGCTGAATTTGGTGGAGTAAAAAAAACCACTGGATTTGGCAATCAAAAGATCTGGGTTTAAGTCCCATTCTAACAAAGTGACCTTGAGCAAGTCATTTCCCTTTACTGTGGCTTCTTCTGACTCAGCCAGCAAATAAGAGGGCCAGACTAGGGAGTGTGACGTCATGGACAGAATGCTGCACTTGGAATCAGGAAAATCTGAGTTTAAATTTCACCTCATACACTGGCTAGTTGTATGACCCTGTGCAAGTCAATTTTAACATCTGACCCTCAGTTTTCTTATCTATAAAATGGGGACAACGATAGCACCATCTTCCCCCATCTTGGGGCTGTGTATGCAAAGTGCTTTGCAAACCCTAAAATGCCATGTAAAGTGTGATTCATCTCATTCTCATCTTTTCTGATGGAGTTCAGATTGAAATGGTCCTGGGCCCAGTCTTATTATTATTACTATTATTTCAAAGGTCTGACATGCTGTGACCCTTGAACTGGCTGAGCTACTGCAGGGACCAAAGTCCTCAGTCTTGGGGGCTCTATCTAGGACACAGGGAGTGTGGATGCTGCTGCATCACAATCCCCACTGCGGGCGAACTGAGCCCAGGCTGTAAATGGGCATCCAGGAATCGTAACCGCCTTTGGGCAGCGGGCAGCCGTTGTCTTCTTCTGGCACAAAGGACAATGCCCTTCTTTCAGGCTCAGCCAGGAGGGGAGGGAGGGGCGGGGCCCTGACCTGGCCTGGCCTTCATAGGACCCATCTCTCCACAGCTGCAAAACACCCTCCTCTCTGCTGCCCCTCAGGGACAGGATGTTACCCAGCCTGTTGGCAGGATTCCTCTTGAACAGGGCTCGAAGGAGGCTTTGTGCTTCCGTGCTCAGAAACTGGGGCATGCCCAGCTTTGCCCTGAAAAACAATGACAGGGCATCGTTAGGGCTGGGGCAGGAGGTGTCCCCACTCCCTGGCCTGGCTAGCCCGGGCTTCCTGTGCCTTTGGCCCTTCATCTGTCTGGGCTGGTACCATGTCGCTCTCTGTGTGGCTATGTCTAGACCACCAGGAGGTGTGTGGGAAGGCCACTGGGAGTCATGAGGAGCAAGACAGGGGAGAGGTGGAAGGGAAGGGCTGCTAGGGATGGAGCCCGGACAGGGAATCTGGAGGCTCAGTCATTAGCTCATCATGTGACCTGGCAGAAGCTATTTATCTTCTGTTTCCTTATCCATAAAGAAAAGGAGTTGGACTAAGGAACCTGTAAAATTCCCTTCCAGGTCTAACATTCTGCGTTCTAGCACGCTGTGACATTCTGTGTTCTAAGGGCCCTTCCAGCTTTGACATTCCCTGTCCTAAGGTCCTTCCCAGCTCTGACATTTCCTGCTCTAAGGGCCCTCCCAGCTCTGACATTCTGTGTTCTAAGGACCTCCCAGCTCTGACATCCTGTGTTCTAAGGGCCCTCCCAGCTTTGACATTCCCTGTCCTAAGGTCCTTCCCAGCTCTGACATTCCCTGTTGTAAGGGCCCTCCCACCTCTGACATTCTGTGTTCTAAGGACCTCCCAGCTCTGACATCCTGTGTTCTAAGGGCCCTCTCAGCTCTGACATTCTGTGTTCTAAGGGCCCTCTCAGCTCTGACATTCTGTGCTTTCATATTCTGTGTTCTAAGGGTCCTCCCAGCTCTGACATTCTGTGTTCTAAGGACCTCCCAGTTCTGGCATTCTGTGATCTCATATTCCATCTTCTAAGGGTCCTCCCAGCTCTGACATTCTGTGTTCTAAGGGCCCTCTCAGCTCTGACATTCTGTGCTTTCATATTCTGTGTTCTAAGGGTCCTCCCAGCTCTGACATCCTGTGTCCTAAGGGCCCTCCCAGCTCTGACATCCTGTGTTCTAAGGGCCCTCCCAGCTTTGATATTCCCTGTCCTAAGGTCCTTCCCAGCTCTGACATTCCCTGTTGTAAGGGCCCGCCCAGCTCTGACATTCTGTGTTCTAAGGACCTCCCAGTTCTGGCATTCTGTGATCTCATATTCCATCTTCTAAGGGTCCTCCCAGCTCTGACATTCTGTGTTCTAAGGGTCCTCCCAGCTCTGACATCCTGTGTCCTAAGGGCCCTCCCAGCTCTGACATCCTGTGTTCTAAGGGCCCTCCCAGCTCCGACATCCTGTGTTCTAAGGGCCCTCCCAGCTCTGACATCCTGTGTTCTAAGGTCCTCCCAGTGCTGACATTCCATGTTTTAATGCCCTTTCAGCTCTGACATCCTGTGTCCTAAAGCTGCTCCTAGCTTGGACAGTCCATATCTCCTGGGGGATGCTCACTTGAGAATCAGTGTCATGGTCTCCTTCCGGTCTTTCCCCTGGAAGGGCAGGGAGCCTGTTAGCATCTCAAACTGCAGAAAACAAGGGACACATTCAGACTGGTGCCAGACCCTGGGTTCCCGCCTTCATATCCACCCACCCCGGTCATTCCCTGGATTCAAGACATTCTTTCCCTCCTTGGTGGTCCTCCCCCAGAGCCCACCACCACCCCCTCCAGGCTAGGCCTCTGGACTCAGTGTCCAGGGAGGGCTCAGTTTCTGCTTCTCGACACCTCCTGTCCTTCCACACACACCCTCCCCCCATTCCGGGTGGCCGCTGAAATAGGTCCCAACCACTGCAGGGACCTCCTGCCCGCAGCTGGCAACGCCTATGCTTACCAACCCCGCCCCCAGCTTTCTGACTTCTGAGGCCCCTCGGAGACCACCAGGTGGCAGCATCCGCGCTGCCCCGCGGGGCTGCCCCCCGGACAGCAATGGTCACAAGTCTCTCTTTGCCTCCCACTTATTGTTTGACCTTGGGAAGGTCATCCCTGCTGCCTGAACCTCATTTTTCTCCTTTTTAAAATGAGGAGGTCTTGAGATGAGAAGATGCATCTCTTTTCATTTATGATGGGGAGTGGGGGGTGGGAGGGCTGGGGGTCTGGATGCAAAACGCGGTTGATTTGCTGAATTGTTTCATTGTTTGCTTTCTGCTTCATCGTTCTCTTTCTGCTTAATTTTTGTTAGAAGAGATGGCTCATTGGGCAGGGGAGAAAAGAAGGACAGATTTAGAAATGGAGATGGTGTTAAAAAAATAAGCCAAAAGATTGCAAAACAAACTAAGGCTGGGTGGCCCAGTGGGCTGAGCACTGAAGACAAGTTCTGACTCAGCCACTAAGTGTGTGACCGTGCGCTAGTCACAACTTCTTTGGGCCTCAGCTTTCTCATTTGTAAAATGGGGTTACAATCACCAACACTTAGAGCTTACCAAGTGCTGTCTTAGGCACTTTACAGTTATCATCTCATTTAATCCTCACAATAACCCTGGGAGGTAGGTGCTATCATCTCCATTTTACAGATGAAGAAACTGAGGCAAACAGAGCTGGAGTGACCTGCCCAAGATCACACAGCTAGTAAGTGTCTGAAACGACATTTGAACTCAAGCCTTCCTTGACTCCGGGCCTGACACTCTATCCAAATAGCACCTATCTCCCAAAGGATGTTGTGAGAATCAAATGAGTTAACACATGTTGTAAACTTCAATGTACTACATAAATGCTGGTTATTGTCATTATTGCTTAAAAAGTAAGATAAGTTCAGAACTTCCTGACCTTTTTTTTTTTCTGTTCCCCCATGCCCCTTGGCTTTCAGTAATCCCTCCTATGCCTCCTAGTCAATAGGGGAACGGTGGAAATAAATCCTAGAGTTTATTCTGCACGTAAGAAATAAAATGAAGCGATTAACTGGATTCTTGTTTAAACATCCATAGCAGGATGAGGTTGTATAAATCAATTTAAACAGAATTCTGTGATTCAAAAACATCAAATCAAAACATCCCCTCTGCCCTTGGGGAGGTGGCCCGGGTTGGGCGCCGGGGGCCAGGTGATTACATTTAGGGTCCCGGCAGCTCCACCAGCTGATGCTCAGTGGCCCTTTCCAGCCCCACATTATTAAGGCATCCCCCTGCCTGGTGCTCTCACCATCAGCACCCCGTAGGACCACCAGTCGGCGCTGTGGGTGTGGCCCTGGCGGTTGACGACTTCAGGCGCCATGTATTCCACGGTCCCACAGAAGGAATAGGCTTTCTTCTCATGGTCGATGGCCTCCTTGCTCAGGCCAAAATCTGCAGCCAGGAGAGGCAGGACAGCTGAGTTAGCATCACTGCCCCGAGACTCAGGGAAACCTTCCCACCAAACCGCAGAGGCATCCCCGAACGTGGCCAAGACTGGGGCCCCTTACCTGTGAGCTTGATATGCCCTTCTTCATCCAGAAGGATGCTGCAGGGGATGGGGGAGAGGAGGAGGAGGACAAGTCAGTACTGGAAGAGGCAGCAACCTTGAATTCTGCCAGCTGTGCTGGCCCCAACTCCCAGCTATATCGCCTAAGATTACAGATCTCCAGCTAGAAGAGATCTCAGCCATCAAGTCATTCTGATTTTTTTTTTAGGGGGGGTGAGGCAATTGGGGTTAAGTGACTTGCCCAGGGTCACACAGCTAGTAAGTGTCAAGTGTTTGGTCTGAGGCTGCATTTGAACTCAGGTCCTCCTGACTTCAGGGCTGGTGCTCTATCCACAGAGCCACCTAGCTGCTCCTGATTTTTTAAAAATGTTATTTTGGGGGCAGCTAGGTGGTGCAGTAGATAGAGCATCAGCCCTGGAGGCAAGGAGGACCTGAGTTCAAATATGACCTCAGATACTTACTAGCTGTGTGACCCTGGGCAAGTCACTTAACCCTCATCGCTCCTCCCAAAAAATTAGTTCTATTGAAAGTTTTTGTTTTTATGTTACTTTAATTTTTTTTCCAGGTTCTATTATATTTTCAGTTCCTAAATCTCTCCTTCCCCTACTCACTGAGAAGGCAGAAAAAACCCATGATGAATACATATAGCCACACAAAACAAACATCTGCATTAGTCATCCCCCTCCTTTTACAGATAAGGAAACTGAGGCCACGGGAGATGAGGGGAGCTGCAGAAGCCCACCGTAAGCATCAGCAGTGGGACTGGAAGACAGGTGCTCTGACTCAAGCATCAATGATCCTTCTGTGTCTCACACAAGGCTTCTCGATCTTTGTGCTCCAGCTGGACTGGACCATTCAAGGCTTCCCATCCAGAGGATTTTGCTCAAGCTGCTCCCTGAGCCAAAGTGCCCTTACCCCTCCTACTCCCTCTCTACCCGTCCTTAACAGCCCAACCCAACTGCCACCTCCTCCAGGAAGCTGCCCTGATCCCTTCAGGAGGCACCAGGTCCTTCCCACCCTGGATTTCATCAAACACTTTGCCTGTAGCTTCTCTACTGGTTAATGTTCATAATGACTATGACATAGCTTATTTCACTAGTAAGCTCTATGAAGGCAGGGGGAGGGAAAAAGGGAGAAGAAGCTTGCTCAGATCCAGCATAAAGATGAAAATTAAGTATAATGTGCCTTGAGATCCTTAAGACTCAAAGAGATGAGGAGCACACTGAACCATCTTCAGAATTCACTCTAGAACCACAGTGGTCCCTTGAGGGATGAATGGGGGAGGAGGGGCATCAGTCACTTCCCACTCTCGTCTCCTCTGCTCTGACCTCCCAATGGGAATTTGCTAGCTGCTAGGCTCCCCTTGGCTTCCTGCCCTCCTCAGCCAGTCTCTCTGTATCCAAAGCTACCTTTCCTCTTTACTTCTCAAGTCAGATATCTTCCTCTGAAGGATTTAGCATGGTATAGACTCAGGTTCAGGGACAACTAGGTGGCACAGTGGATAGAGCTCTGGGCCTGGAGACCAGAAGACATGAGTTCCAATCTTGCCTTACTAGACACTTCTTAGCTGGCTAACCTTGGGCAAGTCACTTAACCCTGCTTGCCTCAGTTTCCTCATCTGTAAAATGATCAGGAGGAGAAAATGGCAAAGCACTCCAGCATCTCTGCCAAGAAAACCCCAAATGGGGTCGTGAACAGTTGGACACAAGATTCAGGTTCAAATCTCACCTCTCTCTTTTACTACCTGTGTGACCCTGGGCAAATCATTTTATCTAAGACTCAGTTTCCTCACCTGTAAAATTAGACTAGACAGCCTTGGAGATCCTTTCCAGTTATCACTCTATACTCCCCTGGGGCTTTTTTGCCCACTTAACTTAGAAGATACACTAATTCAAACTGAAGTGTTAATGACTTAATCATTAATTAATTAAATTCCTTAATCATTATCATTATCATCAACAAGCATTTATTAAGTGGCTAAAGTGTTCCATGATATACCCCTCCCAGAGGTACATCTGAACACATTAAATAATTAAGGAACACAGAATATTATGACAAAGGTTAGAACTAAGCCAGACCTTAGAGTCCGGTCCACTTTAATTTTAACAAGGAGAAAACTTAGATCCAGAAAGGTTATGACACTTGCTTGAGGTCCCACAGTAAATTAGTGACAGAGCTAAAGAAGAATTCAGGCCCTTGTCCCAGGCTCTTTTCATAACCTCACACTGACTTTTCCCATATAAAAAAAAGGGAAAAAAATTAAAAAAAAAAAAGGAGTCTGGAGAGGGCAATGCTTAGCCCAAAGGAATGGCTCATTAACGGTGGCATCTCAGGCACTGTGCTGGTGACAAGCTGAGGAAGTGACTCTTTGGGGGCCATTCTGGAAACGCTAAGACTGAACTCTGGCTCAAGTCTGGGGCTGATCTGCTCACAGAAGGCGCCATCCCCCCTCCTCAGCCACCCCACACATACTTCTCGGGCTTGAGGTCTCGGTAGATGATCCCTAGTTTGTGCAGGTGATCCAGGCCCAGAGCCAGTTCAGCCAAGTAGAACTTCACATCTTCTTCTGTGAACATGACCTGGGGATGGACAGGGTCAGTAGGCTCCGCTACCCACAATGCTCAGCTTCTCTGAGCCCGCCTACCCCCAAGCCCAAGAGCAAGGTTGGGCGAGCTCCAGGGGCAGAAGACTGAGCCAAGCCACCTCTCCATCAGGAGGGTCACTTCCCTCCTTAGCCGCCCTGGACTCTGGGACACCATCATTCTTGGGAGAGGCAGTGGCTTCTCAGGGGGACTTCAGGCCCCTCTTCTAGAGTGCTTCTGCATTCCCCAACCCGTCTTGGCCCCCTAAAGGCCTGGCCATTTAGGCCTCCAGCCGAGGCTCCCCTGGGGTTCCCTGAATCCCCCTCTTCTTCCCTCTTCATGCACCTGTACAAGGCACAGGCTCTCAGACTGGCAAAACTGCCAGGAGCACCAGGGCCAGACAAGAAGGTACTCACCTCTTTGGAGAGGCGTGTGAAGAGGTCTCCTCCCCGGAGAAAGTCCAGGATGAGATAGAGCTTCCCCTCTGTCTGGAAGGCTGAGGCAGAGGGAACAGCGGTCATGGGCTGCATGCCACTGCCCCTGGGGCGGACAGCTTGGGAGGACCCGGAGATGGGCATACAGAGCCTCCCTCTAGCCAGTGGAGCTAGGGGCCTGGGGGGCTAGGAAGAATGGGCAGTGCCCACTAAGCCAGACTGGATGTTGTGACAACCAAGAAAACCGCCATGGAGGCAGGCAGGCAACAAACATTTATGAAGCACCTACTGTGTGCCAGGCACTGTGCTAAGCTCTGGGGATACAAAAAGAGGCAAAAGCCAGTCCAGGCAAAAGTCAAGGAACTTACAATTTAATGAGGCAGTGGAGGGGGGGTGATTAATTTTTTCCTATTAGGGGGAGGTGGCTGCCTGGCCCCCTGAGGCAGAGAGAGATACACGTAGGAGGACAATAAGCCACTGCATCCCTGGTTGGGGTAGAGACTGAACTCTCCCATTCCCCACCCCTACTCCCCAGGGCAGTCAAGGGCTGATCAAACACGGAGGTGAGTGTGCGCAGGCGCACGAGTTTGTCCTGGGAGAGGCCCTGGTCCACCAGAGGCTCCTGGAGGGGCTCTTTGTCTACAGTGGAGGTAGAGAAGGGGTGGGGGCTGCTCACCATAGTGAAGCTTCACCACAAACGGGTGGTTGACGTCAGCCAGAATGTCTCTCTCCACCTTGGTCCTGACTCGATCCCGAACTTTCAGGCGTGGGTAAAGAGAGGCCAAGTCACTGGGTGTTCCCTTTCCAGGGGCCGGAAGATTGAGGCTCAGGGCAGCCTCTCTTCCAGCCTTATACACCATCTGCCCCATCCTTTCCCCTCTGACCTACCCAGTGCCCTTCCCAATTTTCCTGTCTACAAAACCACTCCATTTGACTTAGGTTTGAAACCCAGAGCCATCCTGCAGACCTCCAGCCTCCCCAGAGCAATGGTTCTTAACTTTTTGTATGCTACGGAGCTCCCTAGCAGCCCGCTGAAGCCTAGGGACCCTTCATCATATTCGCAAATGATTGAAGGGAATACTAAATTTTGGTTAGACGTTTGTGAAAACAAAGCTGCCATTTTTTCTCATCCTGCTTCTTGGCACCCCTGAAATCTACCTATGCCCCCTGGAATCTCTCCCATTCATCCTTCTTCCTGGTCCTACAGCCATCAGCCTCCATCAGGACCTCATCACATCTCCCTTGAACAACACAATGAGCCAGACCTGCTCTCCCTGACTCTCGGGACTCTTCCCTCATCCGTTCTCACAGACCATTGGACTCATCCTTTTAATACACAGCTCAGAACACAGAATGAAGGGACTGGATTAAACTATGTCTACAGTCCCTTCAGCTGGAACACTGTGTGTATGCTCTTGTATTCTATGTTGTCAAGTTCCTCCCATATCAGACACTTGATGTTTTAAGGACTCCCCTGGTCCTGACAGTCTCTGTCCTAGGGTCCTTCCCACCTCAGGAATCTCAAGTTCTAAGGTCCCTTACAGCTCTGACATCTGTGTTCTAAGTTCCCTCCTAGTTTCAACATCCCAGGTTCTAAGCAGGGGTAGGGAACCTATGGCCTTCTAGATCCTTGGGTGTGGTCTTCTGACTGTGTCCAAGTTTTACAGAACACATTATTTTATTAAGGGGATTTGTTCTGTGAAGTTTGGATTAAGTGAAAGGGCCACACTTGAGGACCTAGAGGGCTACATGGCTTCGAGGTTGCAGGTTCCCCATCCCTGTTCTAAGGGCTCTCTCAGCTCTGACATTCTGTGCTTTAAAGTCTCTTCTAGTTCTGACATTCTATGTTCTAATGTTCTTCCTAGCTCTAACCTTCTGTGTTGTGACATTCTGTGTTCTAAGATCTCTTCCTGCTCTGACATTCCACCTTCTAACATGCTATCAATCACTCAGTAAGTATTTAGTAAGTATCAATTGCTTCCAGGCTTTGTGCTAGACACTAGGATACAGAGACAAAAAGTAAGCCAGATAGTCCCTGCCCTCAGGGAACTTACAGTCAGTCTACCGGAGCAATAGAAGGGAAGATACAATATGTCTGCAGAAAAATAAATACAGGATATATACAAAATAATTACAAATTTCAGGGCTGTGGGGTGCTAATAACTGGGGAATTGGGGAAAAGTCCCCTTTAGGAGATGGTCTGTGAGCTGAGCCTTGAAGGAAGCCAAGGGTTGCAAGAGACAGGGAGGGGGAGATGAGGATTCTGGGAATGAGGACGAGCCTCTGGAAAGGTGCTGAGATGAGAGGTGGCCTGATGGTCACTGCAGAAGGAGTGGCAAACAGGCCGGTTTGGTTGAAGCCTGGAGTTCATGAGAGACAGTGTGTAATAAGCTCAGAAAAACGTGCTCCTCCTGAGCTAAGGTCGTGGCTGGCTTATCAGATGCGAGCGGCAGAGATGCCAGGTTAGCCCCTGTGAGGAAGGTAGTTTGTGGAAGAGAGAGACTGGATGCAGGGAGACAAATGAGGAGGGTGTTACAACAGTCCAGGCAAGAGGCAGTGAGGAGCTGAATTAGGATGGTTGGGCTGTGACCAGAGAGAAGTGGATGGACGTGAAGGGATGTCAAAGCAGAACTGACAAGACAATTAACTAATCAGTTAATTTATTGGGTTTTTTTGGTTTTGGCCAGGCAATGGTGTTAAGTGACTTGCCCAGGGTCACACAGCTAGTAAGTGTTATGTGTCTGAGGCCAGATTTGAACTCAGGTCCTCCTGAATCCAGGGCTGGTGCTCTGTCCACTGTGCCACCTACCTATCCCGTAATTAGTTAATTTAAAAAATACCTCTTTCAGCTCTACCACTTTGGGATCCTGTGTTGCTCTTCTTATCAAGAACCTGAGATAGCTGCTTGCTGCCTATTTGATGAAGGTCCAATTTCTGGTCCTGGCATTCAAGGCCCCACCCTACGCTATTCAGCCTTATCTCCCTCTGCTCACTCACATACTACTCTAGAGTGTACTTAAGTCTGCCTCTAGAGATGGGCCCTATCTCTTCAGACTGAAGACTCCTCCAGGGTGAGGCTTTGTCTCTCTCACCAGAACCAGGGTTTCCCAAGGGCTTTTGCCCTGGTCATCCAGAGCTAGCAGCCTGCCCGCCAGCCCCCTTACCTTTCAAGGTTGCTTTCTTTAGCACCTTCATGGCATAGAGGTGCCCATTGTCTGGGTGGGTGATCTTCCTCACCAGAAAGACCTATGAAACGTGGGAGAAGAGAGTCTCAAGGACAGGAAAGGAAGGGGGAAAACGCAGACTGGGGGTAAAGGAGAGAGAGAAACCAGAGGGTCCATCATGAAGGGGAGACATTGGAGCCAGGAGGTTTTGGGGGACTGGTGGGGGGAGGGGCTGGAAGGACCAAAGTGAGGCCTAGAGCAATTTGAGAATTCGACCTTTGCCAAAGTAGGAGTCTGGTGTGGCCTTCCTCCCTCTCAGCCCCCAACTTCAGCACTCAGACACCATGAGCAATTGCCTGGCCACAGCTCCCAAGCCACTGAGCCGGCAGCAATGCCAGCTCCTGCCAACAGCCAGAATACTCACTTTGCCAAAGGAACCCTGGCCCAGGACCTTCAGGAGCTCAAACTGGGATGGGTCAGCCTTTTCTGAGCCCTCCTTGACATGGTGCGTAATAGAGATCTCTTTGACAATGCCTTCATCCTGGTGGAGAGAGAACACAGTGGTCGCTGCTGAATGGAGCTGGTATAGCGGGCAGGATTCTGTCATAGACTGAGCTAACATGATCCCTCATTCTAAGCCCATTTCCATGAGGTCCAATCCTTAGGCAGACCAGGTATCCCCACAGAACTCCAGAATGCCACACTTAGGAGAGCCCTTGGAAAACAGGATGTCAGAGCCTGGAGGGCCCTTAGAACGCAGAATATCAGAGCCGGGAGGGCCCTTAGGACACAGAGTGTCAGAGCAGGGAGGGCCCTTAGGACACAGAGTGTCAGAGCCGGGAGGGCCCTTAGGACACAGAGCGTCAGAGCCAGGAGGGCCCTTAGGACACAGAGCGTCAGAGCCGGGAGGGCCCTTAGGACACAGGATGTCAGAGCCCGGAGGGCCCTTAGAACACAGAGTGTCAGAGCCAGGAGGGCCTTTAGAACACAGAGTGTCAGAGCCTGGAGGCCCTTAGAACACAGAATGTCAGAGCTGGGAGGGCCCTTAGAACACAGGATGTCAGAGTTGGGAGCTGGGAGGGCCTTTAGAACAGAGAATGTAAGAGCCGGGAGGGATAACTACTCAGGATCATGGAATTACAGATTTAGAGCTGGAAGGGAATTCAGAGACCATCTAGTCCAACTCCCTAATTTTACAGATAAGGAAACTGAGGCCCAGAGAAGGGCAGTGACCTCCCCAAGGTTACACATTATTTCAGTGGCAGAGCCAATTCTGACTCCCAGGGCAGTTTTTTCCATTATAACATGCCCAGGGCCACTCCCAGGAGTTCAGGTAGGCACTGCCAGGTGGCTGCCTGGCAGAGCACTCCTGTTCAACAGTGCTAACTGCCAGAAGGAAAAGAAGCTAAAGAGGGGGTGTTAGCATCTTTCCCTACCTCTTCCCCCCACCAAACTTGGGCACCAGCAAAGGTAACAGTTGGGCGCCCTTGTTTCATTGGCACAACAAGGGGAGGCTACTGGCCAACATGGGCATCACCCATCTGCCAAGCCGCCTGGGCCCCTCGTGCACGCCAGTACCAGTCCCCAAAGCTTCAGAGCTCTGGCATAGATTCAACTCCCCAGCTGGAGCTTAGGGAGGGGGGATCCAAGGTGGGGCAGGGACACCTCTGCTGGATCACACATGTGATCACCCTGCCCGAGCTGCTTTGCTCCTCCCCTCTCCCTAGAAGGGCTCAGAGGGGGGATGGGGAGAGGAAGGTGCAGGACAACTTTTGTTTTGGCCACAATAGGAAGTGAGGTTCCTTCTCTCTGTCCTCCTTCCCTCACACCCACTCTATCTGCCTTGAGAGGCCTCTGTTTGCCTCTCCGCCAAGAGCCCCAAGAATTGGCCGTGTTCAGAGCCACTCTCCCCAGTCTTGCCCGGCCCAGGAGTCCAGAGAGCTCTCAGGGGCAGTGCTGACAGCACTGGGGGTTCCCCTGAAAAGGGGGGTACACTTAACATGCTACCAGCTTGCACACGGGAAGGAAGCACTCAGAGAGCCCTTGGTGTAAGTGCCAACAACCCAGGGCCTTTACTTCAGTGGGGGACTGCCTGGGCACGCCCATCCCCTACCACACTTTCTTAGAGTTTCTACCCACAGTGTGCTTCACTACCCCTTCCAAGGCCAAAGATCTCCCAGACTCCCCTGCAGCTCCTGTAAGTCCCCTCATGTACACATACGGTCAGTCTCCCCCCTGTGTCCCTATCTGTATCCAGGCCACTTGTCCTAGCCTCTCTGTTATTCACACCTGACACTGGGTGGCTCCATGGGTCCCTGGGATATCAACCGCAAGCATCATCCCTGGATAAGATCCTGGCTGGAGCAGGAGACCTGAGGAGCTCGAATGCTCCTACAGACCTTGCTGGGGCCGGATCCAAGTCACAATGAGATGCACTGAGGATGGGAATAGGCCACTTCCCCCATGCCCTGCCCCCTCCCCCACGCACACCACACACACACACACACACACCACACACACACACACACACACACACACGCAGAGTTGTCTTAAGAACACCTGCTCTAGAAGAGGGATGACGAGCCAAAGTCCAAAAAGAAAGGAAGTCCTTCCTCCTGACCTCTTCTCCCCACCCCAAGCTTCCCTTCCCAACCATCTCCCCCCACCCCTACCCTTCACTGGGCCTCTCCTCCTTCCTCCTGGCTGCTCCTGCATTTGTCCCTCTATCCTCTCCCTCCTAGCCATCACTAACCGTGTCTTGGCTCAGGCTGGGGCCCAGGGTAGGCACTGGTGCCCCACCAGGCCTTGCCCGCTGTTTCCTGGGCAGCCAGAGGCTGAATAAGGCCCGGAAGCGGGGCGGCTTCAGATGCCGGTCCATCCTCCCATCCCATAGGCTCTGCTCCATCCACCTACTGGGGCTGCCCACTGCCCCGGCACCATGGCAGGTGCTGGGCCCAGCAGGCCGCTGCTCTTGGGCAGGCCCGGCTGGCGGGCGGATGTCAGAGTGGGGGCCGGACCAGCCCAAGCTGAGCCCAGCACCAATCACTCATGGCCTGTGGTTTCCCCACTCTTAGCTCGCACCCTTCCTTCACTCAATCGCCTCAGTAACCCTTCGAAATACAGGAAGCGCTGCCTGCCTGATTCATGCCCCTCCCCATGGGCCAAAGCTGATGTCGCCTCACACAGATCGAAGGGAAGCTCCATGCCAACCCTAGGAAAAGGCTAGCCAGGAGAGGCAGGCTGAACTGCCTGAGGGAACCACCCCAGAACTGGGAGTCAGGATGCTTGCAGCCCTGGAGCTGCTCCAAATCCATGGGGTTGGGAGCCCAAGGAGCTGGGTTCATATCCCCTTACTGCAAGTTCCTGTACCTCTGGCTGTCTGAGTGTCCTACTGTGGACAGTGCTGGAGAGTGCTGGACATGGAGTCAGGAAGATCTGAGTTCATATTCTACCTCAGAGACTTACTAGAGGTGTGACCTTGAGCAAATCAGTTAACCTCACTCAGCCTCAGTTTTCTCATCTCTACATTGGGGACAATAACAGCACATACTTCCCAGGGTTGTTAAAAGAATCAAAAGGGATAATATTTGTAAAGGGCTTTACAAACCTTAAATAAAGCATTATGTAAATGATGACTATTAATATTAGCTATTATCGTCTCCATAGGTAACTCAAGTAGACCACAAGGAGAAAAAGGTACCTGCCCACAAATTCTGGCTACTTAATCACTACCTGTGTGCCCTTGGGGAGTTTCTTATCTTCTCCATTTTTCAGCCTCAGTTTCCTTCTTCAGAACATGAGAAGGTTGGACTGGATGGCCTCTGACGCCCCTATCTATTACCCTGATGTGAAATTGGTCAGAACATAAGGGAAGAGTGAGGATGGAAGGGAATTGAAGAGTCTGGGGGGTTCTGAGCCAGTTCCAGCGTGTCTGTTGAGGCTGATGCCCAGACAGTGCCTCATACTGGGCTTCTCCCTGGAGCTGGGCCAGCCACTGATTCCTTCCCTTGGGAACAAGATGAGCTCTTCACAGTGATGCAGGCCTCTCCTGTGTCTGCCTCCAGCCTGGGTCTCTGCTTTCCTTCTGATGCCTCCACAGCCCTGGGGATGCCCAGCCTGGCTGGCTACATAGCTGCCTCAATGGTGAGAAATGTGGGCTCCCATGGGCAGGGACCCGCTACTATCAGAATAGATGGGGTCAAGCAGAGTACACCTGGAATCAGAGGACCTGGGTTCAAATCTCAACTCCACAGCTTACTGCCTGTGTGACCTTAAGCAAGTCACTTAACCTCGGGGGCCTCAGTTTCCTTCTGTGTACAATGAAGGGGCTGGACCTGATGACCTCTAAGGGCCCTTTCAGCTCAGCCCCCGAGATGCTCAGCAGCACAATTCTCTCACCCAGCTCGGCTTTCCAAACTTAGCTTCCAGGGTCTCCAAGCCTGTTCTTTTCTCTTCCTCACTGCTGACTGGTGGAATGGTTTGCTTAGGGTGAGACTGGGATCTGGGGCGGGGGGTGGGGACAATCTTGGTCTGAGGCCAGGGGCAAACAACCAGTCATGACCCAGGCTTCTGGGGGCCAACGTCGAGGCTGGCTTGGGGGCAGGGAAACAGGGCTCCAGGTGCCAGGAAGACAGAGCCTGGGCTGTGGGCTCTGGGGGAAGCAGGTGGGGGAAAGATTAGAGGCTGATGCTGGGAGCCACCTCCCGTCCAGCTCATGGCACTGCCTCTCTCCCCCGGGGCAGGGTTAGGGGCTTCCCACTCTGGTAGCCCAGCTCCTCCCCTGTCAAGCACGGGGCAAAGGCGACCCTCAGCCCCCAGTGCTCAGCTTAGGACAGGCAGTGGGGTTCATAGCAAGCAGTGACTTGAGGAAATGCCTGCTGCCAATGCCACTTACCCTGTTCCCCTGGGGATCCACCGCCAGGATGCAGATGAGGGAGATGGCCCAGCCCCCAGCTCTCCCAGGGGACACCAGCCTCCCTGCCGAAATACCAGCCACTCCCCTGCTGGGCTCTTACCTTTTGGGTGCAGGACACCAAGTCTCTCTCTGTCCAGGGGACATCTGTGGAGGCCTGCATAGTGGAGGAGTGTGTCAGTGCAGAGGGAGTTGGAGGGCCCCACTTACTTCTGCTTTTTCAGACTCCTCAGCTTGAGGAAGGAAGGGGGGGTGTAGCATGGGGTCTTGGGTCCCTCCCCACCTTTCGCACTTCCCCCTTTGGGAGGGAGAAGGGAAAGGGAGTAGAATCCTGGGACTATATCTAGCTGTGTGACTTTGGATAAGTCATTAACCTCTCTAAGTCTGCTTTCTCTTCTTGTAAAGTGAGAGGGTTGGGATGATGATCTCTAAGGCCTAAGATCTTCCAGCCCCAACATTCTGTTTCAGGGTCCCTCCCAGCTCTGACATTCTGAGTTCTAAGGGCCCTCCTAGCTCTGACATTCTGTGTCCTGAGGGCCCTCCCAGCTCTGACCTTCTGTGTTCCAAGGCTCCTCCCAGCTCTGAGATTCTGTGTTCTAAGGGCCCTCCCAGTTCTGGCATTAGATATTCTAAGGTCCCTTACAGTCCTGATATCCTATGTTCTAAGGGCCCTCCCAGCTCTGAGACTCTGTGTCCTAAGGACCCTCCCAGCTCTGACATCCTGTGTTCTAAGGGCCCTCCTAGCTCTGACATTCTGTGTCCTAAGGGCCCTCCCAGCTCTGACATTCTGAGTTCTAAGGGCCCTCCTAGCTCTGATATTCTGTGTCCTAAGGGTCCTCTCAGCTCTAGCATTAGATATTCTAAAGTCCCTTATAGTTCTAACATTCTGTGTTCTAAGGCCCTTCTAGATCTAACATCCTATGATCCTCTGAACATATTCTGTTTCCCAAAGGCCAAGGCTGGGAAAAGGAGAGAAAAATGGCCCCATACTGTCTGGTCCATGCAACAGGAGAAGAAAGAGTGAACGTTCTCACTTATGGCCCCTTCTCTGTGCCTTAGAAATAGGAGCATAGAATAGACTGACTAGTCTAAGGTCATACAAAGCTTTTCAGGAGAGCGAACACCAGAATCTTGCTGATCTACATACTTCCCCAAAGCCTAGAGCACTCTTATCATGCACTAGGAAAGCAGTCCCAGGAGAGCTAGCAGCACCCCGTCCTGGAAGCAACGAGAAGCACAGCTTCTTATGACACCCTCCCGCCTATGGGGGCAGGGGGAAGGGGCTGGGCAGGGATGGTCCACCTGAATCTGGAAGGGCCTCAAGAGGTTGCCTATCTAGGCTAATTACCTCATTTTACAGACGAGAGGACTGGCAGGTTAAGTGTGTTGTCCAAGGTCCCACAACTATTAGGCAACAGAAGTGGGATTTGAACCTAGGTGTTCCTGTCTTTAAATCCAGCCCTCCATCTACCACACTCTGCTGCCTCCTCATGAGGATGACCCAGCCAAACATCAGGTGAGGGTCTGGGCATGGGGCACGCGACTGGGCCTAGGGGTTCAGCTGCTCTTTTCCCCACAGAAGGGTAGCCCAGGAAAAGGGGCAGCTCTGGACCCAAGTTCACTTGGTTGGTGAGACCCAATTAGAAAACCCACCCAGATACACCAAAAGTATAACTCTGGGGCCCGAGCTTCCAAGAGAGGTGGTGTAGTGGCTGCAGGCCCTAGTGGGCCTTTTGGCAAGGATCAGTCAATCAATAAGCATTGATTAAGCACCTACTATGTACGAGGCACTATGCTGAGTGTTGGGGATACAACAAAAATGAACCGATCTCTATTCACTAAGTAAGAGGCCAGGGGAGAGAGAAGGGGAGCTTGGAGGAACTCTGGGCCCTGGAGAAAAGCCTCTGCTTGTCCACCTTACTAGGCCCAAGGAATTCCAAAGGGGAGGAATGAGCTTCCCTACCCCCTCACTGCCATCTAGCTTCAGCCATCGCTGGGCACCAGAGACCCACAGGTGACACAGTAAAAAATACAACCAGTCTGAACTCTGACACTTATTAGCTGTGATGCTGAGCAAATTTTCCCAGTTCCCTCTGAGATTACCTCCCATCTACACTGAATCTCTCTTGTATGTACAGAGTTGTCTAGGTGTTCTCTCTCCTATTATATTAGAAGCAACTTGAGGGCAGCAACTGTGTTTCTGCCTTTTCCCCAGTGCTTAGCACACAGCAGGCACTTAAATGCTTGTTGATGATGACGTCACTTTAAACTTCTCTGAACCTCAGGTTTATCTTCTGTAAAATGAGGATAATATGGCAGTACACTACCTCTCAGGGATACCATGAGGGAAACATTGTTTATCAGTAAACCAAAGAGCCTTTATTAGGCTCCTACTGTGTGTTGAGCACTGCGCTGGGGGTGGGGGTGGGGTACCAAGGAAAAGAGAAAAGAATCCCCTGCCCTCAAAGAGCTTACATTCCATCTACGGAAACAACACGTACATCATTAAATATACCTGAAAGATATGCAAAGTAAATACAGGCAAGGTAAAGTGAGACATTGTTACAATCAAAGGACTGAGCCAGAAGGGACCTGGTCAGGGCCTGGGGTGGAAAGGACCTGGCTGGATGTTCATGTGTAAGTCAGCAACCACTGGCTTTGGGGCTGAATCTTGACGAGACCTATGTGCCACATGCCTTGAAAGCTCTGCTGGTCAACAAGTCTTGGCCTAAGGAATTCTGAAAACTGGAGACATATCCACACCCCAATCCCTCCCCACACCAACCCAACTCTAACGGGCTTCAGCAGGAGCTGAGGCTAGACAGAGGGATGCCCACAGGTGCCTCGATTGAACCACTGACCAGAGGGAGGAAGGCAGGACCCTGGGAGAAGTACCAACCACTTCAACCTGCTGTCACCAGACCCCCACCCCAATCCTGGGGGAGGTAACAGCTCTTCCCCATCGGACAGATTGTCCCTGGATCTTCCCCAATCCCACCATAGCCAGAAGAGCCATCCTAGCTGGAGCCATCTTCTGCCTGGACCACTGAATCACAGTCAGAGAGTTTGAAAGGATTTTAGAGATCACTGGGTCTAACCACTAAGTCTAACAGATGGAGAAACTGAGGCCCAGAGAGTTGAA